CTGAGAACTGTCCAGGAGTTGACGACATAAACATGCCGGTGACAGAACCCATTACAGCACTTGTCAACTTACTTAGGTTCACATCAGGTCTAACGAGTCTACTGCCAATAGCACTGTAAAGGCCAGATGAAGTTCTACTAGGTGCAGCTGGCTCTGTAGGTTTCCTATCCTTGATCACCTTATTAAGGGAATCCTCAGAGTCTGAATCAGTGCTTACAAAATACGTAATACTTCTTGAACTTGTAGGGCTTGATGGAGATACTGTTGACAGACATACATTTGATGTACTTGAGTAAGATATATTTTTCTCAGAAGCTGTAGTTTCAGCAGAGTGTATTTCTTGGAATGACTGATCAGAGCTGATGTTAAGGTACTGTTCAAAATCATTCTTCTCCAGTGAAGCAAACCCTGTGTCAATAATATCAAGAGATATATCCCTGTCATGAATATGAACTGCAGAAGCTGTATCATGAGTCACTTGTGCCTCATCTTCATTGTTAACATCTATATTTAAGATGTCATCATCAGAGCAATAGAGGATTGGTTCCTCTTTCTTTGAGATTATTTTAGCATTCTTATCTTGTAACAATAAAGTTCCTTTATTGGCCACATCCCTAATAAATCTCTCAGCATTTGTTTCAGTAGCCACAGGTTCATAACTGAGGTAAGTCCGCATCACACCATACTTCTCAGTTTCTAGTGGACTTGCAACTGGTTCAACTTTGAAATCTCTTTCCTTTTCATGTTTTCCAGAAACTTGGCTTTTTTTGCTTGATCCCTTAGATAGTTTTCTCTGTTTCTTCCCAGACTTTTCCCGTTTTACTTTGTGTGTTGACTTTGATGTTACTGCCTCTCTATCATTTCCTGACAACACAAAAGTCGGATATGGTTGATCCTCTTGGACAATTGCCAGAGAGTGGTATGCTCCACATGCAATTGCTGTAACATTTTTACCAATCAAACCATCTATTTGTTTAGGAATATTAGTTTTGTCTGTCTCAACACCATGTCCCAGTTGACAACCAGTTCCCCAGGACCAGACTTCACCTTCACTTGAGAGTGCAAGTGAGTGGCTGTCTCCACATGAAATCTCAATTATGACAGGTTCCCTCTCCTTGTTACTATCATTTTGTTGTGTTTCTCTAGCATCAGAGATGCTACTCCGTTCAAACCGTACAGGTGAAGGAAGGTTAACAAGGTTTGTTTCATCGATGCCGCATTGTCCCCTAGATGAATCTCCCCAGAAAAAAACGTCTCTGTTGTCACATATGACGCCACTGTGTTGACCACCACAACTTATTTCATGTACTGGTTTGTCACGCAGATAATCAATAACTGTGGGCTCCCTACGGGATTTAAGATCACCAAGGCCGAGCTGGCCGAAAGAGTTATCGCCAACTGAAAGGACTTGAGAGTTGAACGTGAGAAGTAAAGTGTGGTGATTTCCTAAGGCTACCTTAGATATTCCTTCTCTGAACGCCACACTTCGAATGTGCGGTTCTAGGTTCGTCGATCTCCAAAAATAAGCAATTCCTCTAGTAAAATCATCCTTCACGTCCGCTTCCTCGTTTTCTTCTGTCTGATCCATAGATAGTGACGACGTCTTTCCTTAAATTTATAACCAAACGAATCTATTTTGATCAAACCACTAAACTACCGACAGTCCCGGCTATAACCTGGTTGTGGTGTAACACATCATATTGTATCCACTAGACAATTTGAAAACAAAAGTACGATTTACATAACGCAACGATTATTCGTGCATGAAGAAGCCGGGGTAGGTTTCTAAAGAAATTGTGGTGCCGCGTCAGTAGGTGGGTATTTATAGGATAATTTGGTTTTACCAACTAAATTAGCCATCTTTAGTTCCTACAGCGTAAAGCTGACGTTTAGTTCCTCTGAGTGGAGCGATTCGTTTTAAATCGATAGAGAGGATATCCAATACTTGAAGTTCAAGTAATTAAACAGTAGGACGTTTGTAAAGTAGGCCTTGTAAGCTATGTTACTGATACTTCATCGTAATTAATCGTCACAGTAGGAAGTGTAATAAATGACCTCATCATCTCAACCAACACATGAATATTCATCGATTTACTAGGAACTCTTCCTTTAAGGATGTTATTATCAACAGTAACAAGGACTTTTGAAACATCTAAGAAAGCCCACTTGTGCAATACGATTGACCTTATATCACCTTGAGTTGTCAGCGAGTTATGCTCTATCTTGAGTTGCAGAATGCCCTTTTAAAATCCGAACTGAATCTGAAGAGAATACTACGTGCTCGTATACATTTTTTTTCGAACATTTTGTCAGTTAGAGTTGAAAGCTCAGAAATCAGACGACAACTGAAGTGATCAAAATTTTCCTTCCCTTCCCCCACCTCCCTTATAAAAAATTTTGACAAAAATTGGAAAAAATACCTTCTTGCAGTCTTTGGTTGGTATCTACTGTCAGCACTTCATAAAGGTAATGAGATGCAAATTTGACAAACTTAATGCCGCGAATGCCTCAGTCGATTTTACTACAGCAGATTGATAATTTTGTCACAGAGTTCGCTTTAGAAATATCATGAAACATAAGAATATTCACAAAGAGGCAGCTGATGCATGTTCGCTGAGAGACCATTGTCAATTGCTGATTACTCATTTGCCAGAGTTTTCCCAAACTCGATAAATAGATTGTGCGCTGACAACCAGTCCTTGGTTGGCCTATTATTGAAGGATGTATTTCTAATTGAGCTTTGAGAACCATTTCCTTTTCTGTTTATTCGTGTTCCTCTAAATGTTCAAGTGCTTTTGATTTTATCTCTATCGACTTAAGTCGATCTGTCTGCCTCACTAGGTAAATTTTACACGCAACTTTAAAATTTTAGTTTCGCCTATTACTGCACTTTAGTTATTTACCCAGTTACTAGGTAGTCGTTATCCCGTTCTGAAGTGAGGTCTAAATGACTTATGCTTGCCTTCAGTGAAAACTAGATGAACTGTGGATACCCACGCTTTCTCTTGTCCTTCTGCCGCCTCAAAGCCTTCCAAACCGGAGCATGACGGTCCACCCTCACCACATCATTTACAAAGGTTTTAAAATCAAAGCCAGATAAATCTTAAAGGAATGCATCATGGGAGAGGTGCGAAAATTCTCAAAGATATTCAGTAAAATGTTTTAGCTATCGTGGAGAACACTAGGAGGTGGTCCAAAATTTCTATCCAGCAAATACCCGATTGAAAATAACCCTTTAACAATTATTAGAGCACAAGATCGTATAAGTGTTAAATAACGGAGAAGGCGCGATCCCTTTGTTATAGCTGGTAAAACACCTAAATCAAATACCTTGTCTGAGTATTTCGAGCTTTGCGTGTCCTCGTTATACTAAAGAAAAACTACATTGACATCTCCAAGGAACTAAAACCTTCTTCCCTTACTTTTCAAACTCTGTAATAGCTTTTCAATGGTTGTATGAAGTGACGGCCCATCACCTTTCGGAAGTCTATGTAAAAAGCCAACAACGAGATTTCTTCTTTTCTTGCGAAATGCAGTCTAAACTGTATTAAGCGGTACCGTATTAGGCGGTCACCCCGTATTATGCGGTCACCCTGTACTAAGCGGTTGGTTTTCAAAGTCCTGAAAATTTGTTTCCCCTTTAATCACTGTAATTTTCACCTCTATTGAGCGGTCACGGTTACCTTTGAGTGGGTCGCAACGGCCTGTTTGTATTGTCCTCCAGCTGTATTCGGAGGGCACTGAAAGCGGAACTGTTCAAGTAAAACTAAGAATTATCTTTCAAGTAAAAATTTAGTCCATATATCTCTCATTCTATCTACCTTTTCACGCAAGTGTGAAGGGATATTTAGCGATCACTTTTTTTTTTTTGTGAGCTGCTGCGATATTTTCCTTCTCTCTCTGAAACTTTCTGTGAGTATCGTTCATCTTCCCCGATCGCATGAAAATGAAAAGAATAAGAGCGAGGAAGAAAACGTCAGGCTAATGCAGGATCCTAAAAGATCCACCGTAACCATAGTCGCTGCAGAGAAGTTGTAGGATGTAGAACAGCACCGGCTGTTTTACTGCCAGTGGTGGGATGAAAAATAATATGAAAACGAATCTCGAAGGCTACATGAGGGGTGATAGAAATTTTCACCAATTTTACAGCGGAATTTTGTAACTTCTAATGGCTTGCATAGGATTGAAAGTGGATAGGAGGCGAAAGTGTACTTGGTTAAGTTGCGATTCAATGCTTATCCTCCATAGTCATTTATAAGAACTAGTTCAGTCTGTTACTGAAAATTAGGTATTGAAATGGCTCCTTACAATATGTTTAGTTAATAATACAAGTATAGCAGACTATTCTGATCTAATGAACTGCAATTTTATTCTGTAATGATTTGCACCGAAGCGTCATTACCTAACGCAAGTGCTTGTGCTTTCTACTCCACGGATTTACTCATTTTTAACATCTAAGTCGTAGCTTTATCTTCTAGAATGATCACTGAACAACAAATGGCCAAAGTGGTCACAACTGGACTTCAAAATTCTGAAATTTTGTATATTTATCATTATCTTTTTTGGGACATTTTTAACCGTATCACGATTAAGACAGCAACTAAGAGGCTAAAGGATTAATTCAAAATGATCTTGACCTCTTCAGTCCCGGGGGTTATCTTAAAAGCTGAACATAATAAATACAAGCGACGTAAAATAGAAATAAGGCATGCACATATGGTGTTAATGAAAAACGCTTGAAAACGTTCAGAAATGAAATCATAAGTTATTTTCACTTCGATCCTAAACTCTGCAACAAGGCCAGCGGCTTCTATCCTACAAAATCTATACATATCGCCGACAGTTCTATAAAGATAAGGTCTCGCACTGAAACACCCTTCACTTGGAGCAAAGGATCAATTCAAGGATAAAATGGTACTCCATAAATACCAAAAACTTCTACATGCTAACTCTATGTAAGATTCCCATACACCTTGAAACTGCCACTGACGCTGTAAAGGGTTTTCAAGAAAGACTCGCACTTATTACCTTACAGTGCATTAATTCATTCAAAGGCGCCCCCCCCCCCAACACCCCATTGAGATCTTGAACTCCTTCCCCCGCTACGTCTACTGGTCCCATGGAGAGAGATAAAATCTATCATCCCCTTGGCTTACAACGTTTATAGCTATGTCACAACTGGTAATTTCGTTGAATCGTGAAGCAAAATGAAGTAAAATGAAGTAATTGACAGCCTCTACATTTACTCAAAGTGCAATTTTCATGCTTAAACTTATAATGCCGATTGTTTGAAAAAGGAAAGACAACTCTCAACGGAGACTTGAAGTATCGTAAATTATATTAAATATCACATATATTTATAAGAAATAGTATTCTGTGACTTGAGCATATCAGTTACAAACAAGCTACTCTTTTGGCAGCGCACACGGTAACTTGTTGCGTCAGCCCAAAGAAATGGCTTGATACAGAAAAATTAATCTATTGAGTGTTTTCCCACATTTACAAAGAAATAAAAATTGCGCTTCAACTATAACTAATAGTTTCGCGACCTTTGAGATTGGTGTTATTTCCAGCGTACTTCACAAAAAATTATCAATAAATGGCTTTCCCTTTATTAACTTTAACGAACAAAGTGATCACAATGAAAAGGAGAAAAAACTGATGTAGCTGAAAATTAAATCCCTTTTACCTTTTCTATTAACGTAAAATGACTCAAAAAAATTCCCGTAGACTAACCTGAACTATTCCTAACTACTTCATTCAATACTTATTCAGATATAAATTCTAATGCATTGCAAAATTTGCGTTCACTGGTGTTCCTTATCTAATTGCATAAACATTAATTCAAAAATTGAAATTGTTACTTATTTGCTAAAACAACCTAATTTAAACTACAACGATTTAGAATCTAAGACAGCAATGTTTCATTTGACATTATCTGTTACCTCTATGGTTTCATTAAACTTTCCTTTCTACGTCTAAACAACTACTATATAAATTATTCACCAAGCGTTTGACAAAATTACTTCATGAAAATTATTTAAATAAGTCGTTTCTCGGATCGCCGGTTAAATCTGTTGATGATGATGAGATGTAGTTTGTCGTGTTAAATTTTATCTGGGTTCCGTGCCGCCCTACGGAAGGAAAAAAAGAGATTCCACATAAGCGAGAAATAAAAAGTCACATTAGAAAAGAAAACATTGTTTTATATTTTCAAAAATAAACTGTGAATAACCGAAAACATAGCTAGTTAGAGATTAAAAAAAAACTGTATCCAGTCTCCTTCAAAGGACACCCTGACGATAGGGCTTCAATTTTACATTTCTTGGTCTTGTTAGACAACATACCTTTCTTGTCAAAAATCAGATCAAATTGCACAGAAATCGTCAAATAAGAATTTTCGACTGCATATCGTCGTTTGGAGGATTGTGTTTCAAGATTGAAAGTTTTTTCACCCTGACTATACTGACATAAAGCACTTCAAGGCGGAAAGCGAGACAATATCCTTCACCCGTCAGGGTTAAATAATTAATCATGAAATTTCAGTTATCAAAGACAGTTACCCTGGAGAGCCCTCATGGGAAGCAAATGGCGCAATCAGAGTCCTTTTCACTGGAGTGCTGACTCTCTCAGGTCCAGAGCCCCCCATCCACACTGGCTGACGAGGCTCAGCTGTCCTGGGTCTTGGCGGCCCATCAACTTGAGAGGTAATAGGGCTTCTGAAGCTATGTAAGGTGTAAAAGGCACAGTTAAGCAGACTTTCCTGAACTAACCTAACCTAAGCAGTTTCAGAGAAGGAGCTCATGATTTTTTTACCCACTGTATTTTTACGTACTATTTTTAGACACTGTTTTCACAACAAGTTCAAAATTATGCATCAGTGCTAATGATCATAATTTATCCTTACAAATACAGCTGCTAAGTTTCTCAGACATTTCACCATCTCTCTTGTAAGTCACAACACCACAAAATAGGGAATTGATATAAACACGTAGAGCCAATGTTATACTCATTCAAAGATTGTTTCCTACCTTCGTAGACTTCTGCGTGATTCTTGATCTGTGAACGAAATAATAAATACGTGAGCAGATTACCGCCTGCTCTATTACTGCATGACATGTTTCCTACACGCCATAACTGGAAATTGTGCCACAATTCAAACAAAGCAAATACAATTTACAAACCTCTTCTGAAGTTACTCGTCTCGGGCATTGTTAACAGATCTGTTCATAAGGAAAATAAAAAAGTAAATAATAGGAGCTTGAGTAACCTGATGTGAAAGGTGGAATTATGCAACAGACGGTTGCTGAATAGAATGAACAATATGAACCCACTCCAAACTGTTTTAATAAATCAAATTAGAGAATTACAAGCAAGGAGTTCAAAGTACTCCTTAGGCAATATAAAGGCTGACAAACCTTTGTGGTGACCACCTTTACGAGCTATACCAAGATAGTCAGATACTGGACCTCTGTGCCGCATACTTGCACTTCGCCTTAAAGACGTATTGGGTTCTACCAAAAACACAAATGTCACGTTAGTAAGGGTGCACGAGGTGGTTCAAGGAGTGTCAAACAATAGATTACTCTAAAGCTGTTGTTTAATCTCTTCAAGCAACGTGGTTAGGGGAAGGTGATTAGAGATAGAGGGCGACAAGGCCAAAAAAATGGTTGTGAAGGAGACTAGGCTGACAATACACTTGTAAGATGATTTATGTTGTCAAGGGTTGAAACAATATCCAATTTTGCATAGCAGTTAATATGATAAAATAAGAAATGGGCAGTTGAATAACACCCGTTTATCTCAGCCACTCAAATCGCGTACAAAGTGTGTCACGACGCAAATCTTCAGTGTAAAGTTTTCTCTCAAAATCTGTTTGATGTCTTACTTTTGGATCTTTCACTTTTCACCTCAAGGCTGTTGCATGTTAAAGGTGGCTTGAATTAGTAAGGTGCCTCAAAATGGTGTCCTTATCATTAGCCATTTAACTCCCAAGATCGCGGCATTAGTTTTTCTCCTAACTGTCTGCCAAATGATTCTCATTATGTTAGTTTGGAGAATTTGGTATCGGATCAATTAGTTATCCCATAATTGATACTTTTCTTTATTTTCATCACTTGTCTGCATGATACTGTATAGATATAGTAGGGGGAAATTCTGTCTTGGTCACTCGCGGGAGTTAAAGAGCTAAACACGATTCTCTGATGGATCGTAGTTTCCAAGCTGTTCCTCGAAATTAGTTAAAAAAAATACCCAATTATTTCTTAACAAATTGTAACAATAAAGGACACCATAGCAACACTACATCCTCTGATAGACACCTTTTTTGCCTTATGTGCCTATAGCTCAAAACGAGCCTGGCGACCCCATTTCTTATAACTGAATTTCAGTTGCTATATTAAGATAAATCTTTGAGTGAAGTTAAAAATATGTACATAAAATGTAGAGTTAGACTGTTTAAGGTAGCTCTAAACTACGAAACACTATAACGAGAAAAGTACATCACTAAGTCATACAGTTCTCGAGGTAAAACTAACCAATTTTGCGTGAACTATCCATTGCATCAGAACGGTTTACAACTGAAGAGTCAGACTGTCGTGGGGAGTTGTTGAGAAGATCTGCCATTTAAATTCACCCAGTTAGGCAATTAATCAAAGCTAATGAAGGTTCAAACCGTATATCACTGTTATCTGAATTTCTCTTACCTGGATGGCCTCCACCTTTTCTGGCAAGTCTGAGGTATTCCGTGGAGTCCCTACTCGAGCTACTTACAGTCCTGGGGCTGTTTACCGGGGTTGTATCTAAGAAGAATCACAATGATTACTCAATGACTGACCGTTTTTCTCAATAAAATCTAAGGATCATAAGTCTGAGATGCAAAAAGGGACTGCCAGAAATAGAAAAGACAAGATTTCTGACGGACTGCATTACTGTTCCGAAAGAGGATTATGGCGAACGAAACCCTTCACGTTGAGTGGTACTTTCATTCATTTTCAATAGTGGGTTATCATGTCTACTAATTTCAAAGAACGTTTCCCGCACAGTTAAACTTTATGACGAAAGGGAAGGATGTTATCCACCTGTATTTTGCTTCTTTACTTGATTTGGCTTCGGGCTGGCTTGGTGAGGTGTCATCATAAGTAAGTCTGTAACCGATACATTTAAGAAAATGTTAATCATTCAACAACAGACGAGGACTAGCACGAAGTCTATCGCTATCGCAAAGGCAACAACTCCCTTTACATTATGAAATGAGCATGGCCAAGAATGTGATGTTTCACTGAAATACAATGAAGTCCTCTGAAAGAAGCACCCTCCAAAGGTGAAGCTAACGTGGTTGTACGCCGAACGCCAGTAAATTAGCAGCCAGTACAATTTTCTCGACAATATGTCACTGGTTCTCGTTTGAACGCGCATAAATACTCTTTGCCTTATAGAGATATTCTGTTAGTAGTCCAAGTTCCCCAAAATAAAAAGACCTGTGATGTACCCATATTAATTGACCGATTGAGACCTACGCATTATTTTTTGTTATTAAGAAACAAGTCAGAGAAATGATAGATATACAGTTTAAAATTTTCTTTACGCTACTCCACAGAGATTGTGAAGGTTGCTCAATCCGCAAATGACGAAGATTGTTTTTTTTAAAATCCTTAGAGAAACAGCAAATTCTAGGTATCTAAAAGTTGCCTGTTCCAAATTGTGTGTGAACAAGAACATTTTACTGGTTTCAGAATTGTTTTGAGTCCCTCCTAACTTTCACTAGTACTTGAATAATCCCGACCGAAACAGAGACGTTACCTTCACTTATAGCAGGAATAAAGCACTCAGGATTACAAGTCAGCTTACCATTGTCCTGGTAGTTTTCTAAACCTTTTGCCGTGGAGGCAAACCTTTTTGTCAAATGAGAAACTTTCATTACAGCTTTTATCTTAAGACACTCCTGTTTGTATACCTTTATGTCCTCCTCCTTTCTTCGCCATTTTCAAGTATTCACTGGAAGCCGGTGAACTGTCCACGTTTGATTTTCTTGGACTATTAGCGGGAGATTCTGTAGAAGCGAATTGTTATTGTCATTAATGAGAAAAATAAAAACAACAAAAGAGAAACAGGTACATGTAGTTGACATTGACTACGAAAGGAATTAATCACTAATCATTAATAATCACCACTTGTTACATTGAGATAGATAGAGAACCAGCTACATATGGATAACTCTCAGTTGAAGAACACACCTTTCCTCTGAAGTGACTCTTTGCCATTAATTCCATCGTGGTAGTACCAGTCTCCGAGCTTACTTTCTGAATTCCTGGGGGTGGGACTGGGTTTATGACCTTCAGTTGCTAAAAGGTCTACAAAAAACACAGTTATTATCTCTTCTTAACTTCCCTAGCTTCCCTTTTTGTACCGTTATTATTACCTCTGGGTCACGGCAAATCTAGGCCAAGAATTAACAATTACAAAAGACTGTCAAGCAGGTTGAAGCCTTGTAATTTAAGCCAACATCAGCAGAGAAGGTTAAAAATATTTTACACACAATACAGTCACTTTCCCTTATCCCTACAAAATGTTTAGTCGTACCGCTCCTGGCTATGTACACAGCCTGTGTTTGACCCACGAATAAAAATAACTTTTTTGAAGCCTTTTTAAGTGACTCAGATCTACGGTTCCTACAAGGGAAAATTTGGGGGGATGGAGACTTCATCTCATAACATTAACGAAAAATATACTGTTCACTTGGTTGCCAGCTACTACGAGGTGAATATTTACCTTTGTGGCCCCCTCCTTTCCGTGCTCTCTTAAGATACTCAGTTTCAGTGCTGATTTCTTTCGGGGGGTCACCATTTTGATTCCGAGTTCCTGAAAATAAAAACAAACCAAGAAAATATTATGTAGCCCAAAAATGTTTGTAGATTCACATGTTTTCCTTTGGTTCTAAAAATCCCAATGATATCATCGTTAACAAACCGACTCTAAGAACATTGTCCAACGGATATGTATATATATATATATATATATATATACATATATATATATATATATATATATATATATATATATATTGGAGAGAGTACCTCTTTAGACTGTTTTTTCTCCTGCCAAAGGAAAGGATATATGATATACAGACAATCAATAAAGTAGTACCTTTTTTCCCTCGCGTTTTACTTCCATCAACATAATCTTGATTGTACCAGTCCCCCCCTTTCTTTTGGTATCTCTGTGGCTTAGGAGATGGTGTGTGGGCCTCCATGGTCAACAGATCTGCGTGGAAAAATTCCCCTGAGTACAATAGTATGGATATGAGGCAATTCTCTATTCTTACATAAAGTGCGCTTGTTCTTAAAGGAATGCTGCATCGAATGCCACATCATTTACTCTTTACTAACCTGTCTTCAAGTTGGTTAGCTTTCATAAACCCGAGAATTTGGATGTACATAACCAAGATTCTATGCTGCATCATCACGGTCACCTCGTTTCACTGAAAATTTGCTATTTACACTTTACCTTTACGTGGGTTCAATTGATTTTTGTTTATCGATTCCTAACCTAACCAGAGCGAATTACTGTCAGTTTGGGCACAACAGGCGTAAGAAGTACGGAAAAGCGAAAGAAAGATGTTAAAAATTTGTCGCGAGCCCAATAAAAAAGACTTCTGAGTCACTCAAAAGGCTTCAAAAGCGCAGACCTCCCGTAACTGTTTTCCTCGAGTTTTTTCAACCAACTAACATGAATAAAGAGTTATACTTAGTTCAATCGGTGGCTGGCTCTTAATTCTGATCATAATAAAGCCTATGGTTAGTATAACAAAGTGCTTTGAACACAACATGTTTTCGAATTGATCTCTTTTCGCAAATTATATTTATGATGCCAAAACGTTATTTCAAAATTTATTTAACATTACTTAATTATGCAAGCATTACACTACCATTTTCCGTAATGGGATTAACATTCACTCTCGTTCAATGAATTACCTTTTTTTTGTTTTGTTGGTGCTTCCTTTCACACCTCTTACGTCACTCTTTACATTATGGGTTAAATTAGTAATTAATAAGCCTAGAATAAAAGTTATTTCTTATGTCTCCAAACTTTTCCCGTCGGGAATTACATAAGATATATATGTACGTGTGGACGGTCATCTTTTAACCCTGATGATGGCAAACAGCCGAAAACGTTTGGTTTAAACATTTTAATTTTTTAACCTTTTAGCCTTGTTTATAGAATACATTTTACAAAGCGAACATTATGGACAATAAGACTTATATCATATTACATATTATGTTAGCGCTACTACCTTTATGGCCTCCACCTTTTCTAGCCATTTTAAGGTATTCTGTGTTAGTGTTGTATACTTTTGAATTTTCTGTGTTTTTACGAGGACTTCGAGTTGCTGCTACGGAACAAAAAATGGCATTTCCATAAGTGTTGTTTAAAACCATTCACAGAAAGAAGAGCTGGGCGCTATTTCGCGACATTGTTGAGTTTCTAAACTATTGTAAAATCCCGTTCATAGCTGAGTCGTTGTAAAATGTACGAAAGGAGCCGATAAGGAATCCCCCCCCAATACCAAACAGTAGCCATAAATCGATACAAAAATTAGCAAGATTGATTAAATGCAGAGTTATTTGCAGAATAGAAAAGGCACAAACAGACAAAGCTTTTCAAACTCCGTTTCAAAACGACTGAATCAACAACATACCAGAATGTCCGCCACTCTTCCTGGCCAACATTAAATAGTCCGTTGCACTGCTATTGTTGCCTTTAGATGGACTGGATGGGGAAACTGTTGCTCCTACTTACACAAGCAGATTGACATATAGCTAAATAAATAATCTGGATCGTGAACTCAAACAGTTCATAGTGAGCATTAGTACAAAATAACTTTTTTCAAGTGCAAAAGCACTTCTTAAATGCACAGCAATATCGAGTAGGACTTACAAAATTCTGGATTATGAACAACAAAAAAGTGTGAATATATAAATACTGATAACTAAACTCAACAATTGTTGAAAAAAGAAAAAAGAGAAATATCTTCCGCGAGATATTGTCAAATATACGAAAAAAAGACCGTTTTGAGAAATCCCTAACTGCATGGTAAGTTGTTGCTACGGTTTCTGTAATCCACACAACATGACAGTAAGACTGCAACATACTTGTTGTGTCCTTATTATTTTGACTGTACCAGTCTCCTCCATTCTTTTGGTATCTCTGTGGTTCTGGGGATGGAGTGTGTGGCTCAACAGTTAGAAGATCTAAAACAAAATTCAAATGAGTCAATCTTTACACAGTTCACTGCTGGACAGGTGTAACAATCTTATTACATTTTAAAATTTCAAGTATCCTCTTCACATAATTGAGTGTCGTTGGACAGATTGAGGAATGAGACCAGCGGAGCTGTCAGCACATGTAGTTAACTCTTATTATCATTGAAGATATCCTAAACAACAACAAAGAGTCCGCGACAGCAGGATTCTGCTTTCACATGGTGCCCAAAAACAAATTTTGATGTACATGAACAACAACATTAAGCAAGCATTAATCGTATTAGATCATTAGAAAAATGTACACAAAGAAAATTGTAGGGAATAACTTGTTCGAAATTAAATCGACGCAATTTGAAAGAATGCTTAGCGATAACTGTCACATTGCGATCTCTCACCTTTATGTCCTCCACCCTTTTTGGCCATCTTCAAGTAATCCGTTTCTTTCTGGGCGTTCATTGAGCCGGCCAAGTCTGATCGATGCGGACTTTTAGAAACCGTTACCATTTCTAAAAAAAGGAAGCAGGTTCATTCATTCAACACAGTTTGAGACCAAAGGACAATTTACAGTGTAAGACAGAGTATTCACCTTTTCTTTTCTGTGTTTCTTTGACATCCACTCCATCATGAGTGTACCACTGTCCATCCTTCTTGTCATATTTGACTGGTTCAGGGGTGGGTGTGTGGGGTTCTAGTGTTAAAAGATCTAAAACACATGGCAATGTGTTAGGACATAACTGAGAATCACTAAACAATTCTACTAATTTGCTCGCAGACTTGTGATTAAAATATACCTACTTTGAAGCGGACGTTTCTCTACTTTTTTTTCTTTTTGAGCAATGAGCCATTTTTTTAACAAAACATCTCTTATATAGGATTATTCGAATTCTTCAGTTTGCTATGCACAATAAAGCCATTTTTTGTTCACGAAAGTGTCTTGCTTTCTGTCTTAAAGCAGTCCAACATCATCCTTTATTGGTACTAATACAATTGTATCTAACGGAATCTATGCATCCTGTGTCCATATCACTCTTAGCATCAGAACTGGCAAAAATATTTGTATAAAACATAGATCACTGTGTAAGGACTATTTCATCTCTATGCAACTAAAAAAGGCTAATTAAATAGTAACACTAAGTAACTACCAATTTCAAGAATCCAGCCTATTGGTTTAGACTAGTTGCTTTAGGCTGCCACTAACCTTTATGCCCTCCACCTTTCTTAGCAATCTTGAGATAATCAGTTTCTATCGGAATTTTTTCAGAACTTGGCGCACTCGATGGGCGTGGACTTGAAGACACTGTGACCATTTCTAAAAAATAAATATCGCGTCTAACTTTAAGTGAAGGAAATCAATTGAACCTGAGTGCATTTCGTAAATTATGAACATCGGTGATGTTTTAAACGCTTTCGGGTGACTAAACAACCCATGGGCGTGCGCAATTTGACATCCTATCAAAACATCATGAAGTGCACAAGCACTTTCTTATAATCTCGACAAAATCAATTGCCAATGATCAACATATACTAGCTATGAATTGTTTTTTAAAAACTCGACATTGAAGAACAAAACCAAATTACAACACTCAATATGTACACTCAAAGCGCACCCAAAATGGAAGCTGCTCCTCTTTGCACTCTAGGTCTTCAGTATCAATCAAGTAAATTGCTAAACCTGACTGAGGATGTTGATCTGTTGCTAACAACAACAGAAGCTCAAAACATATGGTGTGAGTTTTGCTTCCTTCGATTTGCCTCTTCGAGATGCAGAGATCATTGCTTAGAATACAAACATAGAGATCACCAATGAAAAATAAAAACACATCTAGAGTTATACTTGTTGCATTAAAAATGTTTCCTAGAGAGCGAATGCTACATTTTATCTCCCTCTTCCATAATTTTTTCCGATCCAATACACCGATCACAAACACTTTACTAAAGCTGGTAGACTAGCTAACATAATTATCTTGGGTTACGGTGACAAGCTTTACTAACGAAACACCAATCTCACATACACATTGTAACGCCAGAGAGCCAAATATTCTTTTTATAAAAATCATCACATTTTACCGTAGGGAATTATGTCACAACTTTCCATTCTGATTTAATCATCACGACGTTCGATTTTTCACCACGAAGATTGACAAGGGAGTAAGAGGAAAACAGTTCAACAATTATCACAAAGTTCTAGCGCAGGTGGCTGCTCACGCGACCTATTCTCGAAAGTTGCAAGCTCCCTTAACAAACACCTTCGAGGGTTTCTGCCCATAGGAGCTTCAACAGTAATTGCTTTTCAAAACGCAAAGACTGACGAAACCTTATTGATGCAAATGACAAATTGCTACCAAACCTTCTCAGTCACCAGATGGACAGACTGGAAAAGGAATTTTGCATTTTGGTGTAAGATAAAAATTCTTACAAACATGTTCCCACTAGCAATTGTTGATTGAACAAAAATACATGTATTCGTGTTATCGTGCTAGCGACCAGACTTAACATTTCAGTTGCTAAAACTCACTTCTCACTTTCAGTGGTAAAACTGAATTTGAGTGTAACCAAGGATTGAAACCGTAAATATGAGGAAGCAGAAACACAGACATAAGGAGAGTCAATTCAATGACATTTGTCAACAATGCTTTCAGCCTTTCCAAGATTCTTCCAGAGGTTCAAACGATGCAGTAAATTCTTCCCAACACCTAATTAAACTCACCCTTTCTTTGCTGCGTGTCCTTAACGTCAACTCCATCGTGATTGTACCACTGTCCATCTGTTTTATCATATCTGACTGGTTCAGGAGTGGGCGTGTGAGGTTCTACTGTTAACAGATCTACCATAGAACAGTTTCCCGTTACTATAAACATAGAGTGCACCTTCTTTATGTTCCTGGATCTTCACAATGACTAACTAGCCTTATGGTAACAATTCACTTTACGCTTGTAGGTTTTAGACTATCACTAGCCTCAATCTCTAGTTCAATTTTTTTTTAATAAATTGAAAGAAACCACAAATTCAGATTGGTTACCCTTGGCAAATAAATATATTTTCATATTTTTTTAAACTGCTCCGGCATATTTGCTAGATGCACTAGCAAACCATTGCTGGCACACTAGAAGAGATGTCTGACCAGGCTTGATAATGGAAACCCTGCTCGTTAACTTAGACGTCACGAGAACTACTATTAAGTACTCAAATGAATAGTATTATTATTTATCAAGTTTATAGAACAACCTTTATGTCCTCCGCCTTTCTTTGCAATCTTTAAGTAATCTGTTTCCGTGTCGACTTCCAATGAACTATCAAGGTTTGCTGGACGCGGACTGCTTGCAACTGTTACCATTTCTAATGAGAAGTTACACCAACAATGTAAGTGTCCATCATGTGACATTCACTAATTTCCTCGAAATCCAATGTTTTTAATTAATGATGTTTTGTGATCAAGGCATGGAAAATATTTAAATTCTACCTTGCCCTTGGGGCAACTATTTTATGTCTCACTTTCTTGAGGTATTTTCCACAAGTGCCTGAGCTAGTTAATTATTTGTAGAGGAAAGAGAAAAGGAAATGAAAGACTTCTATGTTCCTACATCAACTATTTAACAAAAACTATTGAATTTGCAAAGCATGCTCACGTAATCTTGTCAAAACTTTTCATAAAAGCTTGTTGCCGCAGAGATTACACACAATAGTCAACTAGTTGCTTGATTTTCATTTCAGGCCGCCTGATATTGCTTTGGATAATACAAAAATGTTCAAGTTCAAGTAAGAGAAAGAGTTAAAACCTTTTCTCTGTTGAGTGTCCTTAACATCCACTCCATTATGTGTGTACCACTGTCCATCCTTTTTGTCATATCGGACTGGTTCAGGGGTGGGCGTGTGAGGCTCTACTGTTAACAAGTCTAACAATATTATAACAAGAGAACTTTTATCAACACTTTCAATCATAATAAATTTTTGACATAATTTTCCACAAGAACATTTATGGAGTTATTATGCATGCACCATACCATGAATATGGTTTCAAATATTACCTTTACGTCCCCCTTGTCTGGCAGTTTTAAGATAATCACCATTGTGCTCTCCTGCAGCTGATAAATCTTCTGGAATACTTTCCAGGGTCACAGACAAATCTATATAAAATAACCAGATTCTTCAAATTTCCCTTGATTGGAATAATATGGGTACAGCACTCCTACATAAGCACTGAGCTGGTGCCTCTTGTTCAGAGAAATTGCAGTCATCGCAACATTTTACACTTTTTTTGAATGAGAGGAAAATCTTCCCTCAAAAATAAAATCAGTCAGTCATCCATACCTGTAAGGACACAGTATAAAATATACAATCTGAATGTTTAAACCTGTGGTTATCCAGTAAACAAAACACCAAGACTGGTATCAATATTGTCAAACTGTCTATACACATTCCCTCATGTGTTATGTTCTGTCAAATTAATTATTGATGAAAAATTACTGAATGTAAGGTCTTCATTACAGGTCTTGGAAAGAGCAAGTTGCTTCAGTGTATTGTAGAGGATCTCATAATCAACTGAATATCAAACTACCATTAACTCCCTATCCAACATTGATTGCAAAGAACTTGGGTAACAACTTGACTCATAGAGTTGTTGAAAAGTCACCAGCTGTATGAAACAGCTTCACAATTTTTGTGGGTGGGTTTACCTTTTCTCTGTTGTGACTCTTTTATGTCCACTCCATCATGTGCGTACCACTCTCCATCTTTCTTTTCATATCTGACAGGTTCAGGGGTGGGTGTGTGGGGTTGAACTAACAACAGATCTGCAAGCACAGATGCATAATGTACACTCAAAACATTTCTTACAATGAAAGAAAAGAAATTGTTATCCAACATTTCTTCTACAAGGCCATGTTTAGCTGCGAACAGCCTCAGTCTATGCCTAGTCACCTAGTTTGGAAGGATTAGCCCTTCATCAAACCCCTCATTTAAGACCTTGACTGTCGCTGCAGATACCTCTACAGAGTGTGACTGTCAATGATGCGAGATTATCCTTAACTTTTTCATTTCAGCTGCAAAAAAATCAAGAAACTACCTAATTTTCCTGACTGATTTACCAGTAAGTTTTGGGCTAGACATTGGCCCTAGTCTCATATTCCCAGGATTTCTGCAACACTGCAAAAATTTACTTGCCTTTGTAAAACATTAGCCCATTTGTAACAAACATGTCTTTATTTTTAAAAGATATCAAACAATGTGATGTCCCACAATTATGTAAGCATGCTGTACAACTAATCAGTTACCTTGATGTCCTCCACCCTTTTTTGCCAACTCAAGATATTCTCTGTTATTGCATCCTGCAGCCATGACACACTCACTGTTCTTCTGATCATCAAGTGACACAATCGAGTCTGGACAACAAAATATCAAGCAATGATTGCATTCCCATCATTGATTAACATGCATAAGGCACTCTCTCTGTGCACATGTAATTTTCCATTAATTCCAACACAACCTGATTATGTATAGTAATGCTCAGAGACGTGTAAACAAACTATTGATAGTGTATGTAATTCAGCCTGGTTAGCATATTTCTGAAATTATAGTTGTATATTTAGTTACCAAGCCTTTCATTTAGAGTGAAGCTGAAGGTGACCTTGTTGTGATAGAGACCAGTATCTAGTTAACATGATAACAAAGTAATTTACATTTGAAAAACAGCAATTTAATGCTTGTATCATAATACCCTTAGCCTTACTCTTGTCCAAAGGCTTGGCAACTAAGCATGCAACTGTAAAATGGACTATTGTGACCCACAGCTTTTTGCAATTTAACCAAGTAATTATCTATTATTATAGACTGGAACAATTTTCCCCTGATGACTCTAGCCAACCAACAGTTTTCTTTTTTATCCACTATGAGAGGTAACTGTACACATACTTTGCGATGCTGCAGTTGAAACAAATAGCATCTCAATAAGTGATGAGATGTAAGATTCACATTCACATGTGCTGGTAATTAGATTACAAAAATCAGGATGGATGGACACAGGTTCATGAGTGAATGTCAAGGAGAAGAAATAGAATCCACTGCTGGGAAAAGAGAGCCTAAGAGACAATTTTATCAATTAAAGTGGAAAACCCAGTGCTAACATTAATTTTAGACTTCACTTGAAAAAACATACACTAAAATTTTTCAAAGTGTTAAATCTTGTTAAAGCAAAAGACTTACTGCATGCTACATAATACTATTTACCTATTCGTTGCTGTGTCTCTTTGATATCCACTCCATCATGTGTGTACCACTGTCCATCCTTCTTGTCAAATCTTACAGGTTCAGGTGTAGGTGCATGTGGGCTTATTGTCAATAAATCTAACAAAAAAGAAAATACATGTGTAAGGGCTTTCCTAAAATTTTTTGAGGCTCTAAATATATGACTTGTACACTGTTTGCACAACAATAATTAGTTTTATTACTAATTAACTAATTACTAGTTAATTTATTAATTAACCTTTTTCTCTGTCGAAGGCAAAATGTTTTTTATTCTTTCACTCATTAAATAATTATCTGTTGTATTCAGGTATAAAAACAAAGAACAAGTTACCAGCATGTTACATGCAGTATCTTTTGTTCATTTACCACTTAATCAGCCTGTATTTCAAGTGAGTGTTTTCAAGCCCAAAGGCCCAATTGGCTTAATTCACAACTTAAAGGTTTCCTTGCCATTACTTCATGATTCTACATTGCCATATTAATTTAAAATACTGTGGATACATACACAAGGCAGCAAACTACAGAAAAGATACATCAAGTAAAATAATGAGCCTACTGTTGTGTCCTCCTCCCTTCTTTGCCAAGTCAAGGTACTCTGTGTTGTTTCCTCCTGCTGCTAGTAGTGTTTTAGTGCCTTGTTGAGCTTCAATAGATACAGCTAATTCTGTTCAACAAACACAACACCAACCACATAGATAGACAAATGTATCTGGATTTCTCAATTAGTGATACCCTCTATGACTTTGTGATGGTAATACAATCAAAATAAATTTTAAATTTACAAGAATACTTTTACAATATGTTTTGGCATGACTACAAATTATGACTTGATAGGGAAGTATAAATGACTGAAAAATTAAAATACTCTCTGTGGCAGACATAAACATGTAATTCACTGCAGTAACCTTTTCTTTTCTGTGTTTCTGTGACATCCACTCCATCATGTGAGTACCACTGTCCATCCTTCTTGTCATATCTGACTGGTTCAGGTGTGGGTGTGTGAGGTTCAACTGTCAGCAGATCTATCACAGTACAAACAATTATGTCAATGGATCACAACAACTGGTGGAACAAAGACAAAAACAACACATTATATACAAAGGCTTGTAGCCTATCAATTCCATGGTAAGTTTGTTCTGCAAAACATTCAGTGTGTTCCTCTTCAGAATTTGATATTTCTACCATTATAACCTATTCAGTTAAGATTTTCACATTTTCCTGCTCTTACTTTTGTAAATGAAGGAAGTACAACTAGAACTCAAGAGAAATGTTAAGATTAAATCTATCTGCATGGTTGTAAATCAGGAGAAAGAAACATCATTTTCATCCATAAAAACCACATTGAACTGACACCTGAAACACCTTTAACCCATTATGCTAGGTGTTTGTCTCATGGAAGCAACACTAAAGCCCCTTCATCTAACATTGCAGAATCTGCCTCTTGCAAAGTGTCACAAATTCCCAACAGCAAATGAACTAAACTTGTTGAAGTCAAGCAGGCACAAGCTTTGCAACTTTCGAGTCAGCTGAGCTCCCATTCTAGACTTACTTCATGCTTGAAATTTGTAAATAATTTGCTTCCAACAGAAAATATATTGATTTTTTTGGCATAGAGCTTTTGTCTTGATTGGTCACTTGCTTAGGGTTAGGGTTAGGTTAGGTCTTAATTGCTTTCAATTCATAGTTTTTCAGTAACAAGCAAATTTTGGGTAGATTAAACAAATGTGCATCATGACTTCTGAGTTGACTTGACTTGAAATTACTTGATAATCAATCTGGACACGGGTTTGCCTACATGGAAGAGAATTGTAACAATTGTCTTTCTGTAGTCTCAATCTATCTGTAACATTTGACATGAATCTATCATGTTTTCTTTGGAAATAGTTTCTCCTACTGTTTTACACATACCCGTAATGTCTTTAAGTCTCTCCTTGAAAGCAGACAATCTATATCATTTAATGTGCATTGCTTTGGCTATTTATCATATGATTTATGCAAAGGCACACTGGCTTAAATGGGTTAAATTTATAACAAAAAGAGGATCTTGCATTTCTTTCAATGACATTACAATTCAACAAGCAATCATAGTTGTATCAATAATTGTTTTAAATCAGTACCTTTATGTCCTCCACCTTTCTTTGCGATCTTTAAATAATCTGTTTGTGAGTCAACTTCCAATGAACTTTCCAAGTTTACTGGACGAGGACTGCTACAAACTGTTATCATTTCTAAAGGAAAGAGAGAGTTGAGGAAGATTTACTCTGTGATTACCATAACAAATTAGCAAAATTGGTAGCTGGTCTCTGGTGTGAAAAGGAGGTGGGTGAAGGCCATCAGGCTCGTCCTCGAGAGTTATTCTAAGGCACTCTGAAGTACAGGGGGCACCAATTAGCACAAAAAGGACAAACCTTTCTAATTGTGCAATTCTCAAGTTTGGCATGATTTTTTTTAGTTTGCAACAAAAACCACCTTGAAGTAGTCAGTAGACATTTGGGAGCTTACATTATTTCAGGATCCAACATACCTTTTCTCTGCTGTGTATCTTTCACATCAACTCCATCGTGACTGTACCACTGTCCATCTGTTTTTTCATAACTGGCAGGTTCAGGTGTTGGTGTATGAGGATCAATTGTCAACAAATCTGAAACATAAAAAGGAAGAAATCAACATTTTAGTATATCGTCTCATTCATAGACTGTAAAATCTTAACCAAATGGATGTATACATATAATCTTATTGTTATTGTTATGTTTATCATGAACAGTACCATTTTCCATTTTTGACTGGATAGAAAATTATTTTATGAGATATCACCAAAAATTCTCTTTATAAACAACTACATGCACTTCACTTTGTGATGCAATGCAACTTATTTTTAGAGAAAACACCTTTGGTAGAAACCTCCCTTCCCTTTTGAAGACAAAGAACATATAGCTAAGGTTGGTTATGTTAAAAGCAGTGCTCTGCTGTTTTTATTTTCCCATTTGCAATGCATCAAAATACGAAGAATCTGAATTAAAAGTTTTTACTTGTTTTACATGAAAAAATGCTCTGTTTAACATAGCATGTTTGTGAATTAATTTAAAAACATCCTAAACATAATTATTTAATCAAACACTTACAAAAACCATAGACAAGAACTAAAACGATCCAAAACTGGAAACTTTTTAAAAAAATTGGTGTAATTGAAGTTCACATCATTCCAATCTTTGAAAAAAAAATTGGCAAATGCACACTTCACTACCAGGTCTGCTGCTGAATCAAACCTTTATTGCACACAATTTTTTACACTTTGGCCTGACATTACTCAGGAGGAATCTGCCTTTGTGAGCAGTGTCCATTGTATTGTGACAGGATGATGCTACAAATCTCCAAATAACATTACAGACATTGACACCATCAACTGCTGACTAGTGTTTACCTTTATGTCCTCCTCCTTTCTTGGCAAGTTGTAAGTATTCTCCACAGTTTTCACCAGCAGCTAGGACATCACAGTCTTGACTGTTATTAAGACTAGATGACAAGTCTGAAATATACCAATTCAAGATAACATGAATATATACAGTCAAGTGAATATATACAATAAGGTGTATACTATAAAATATGTATATCCATTTCTTTCTCAAATTGTTTATCAAATCCATTTACATGTACCTATCCCCAATCAGTGAACAAAACTTATAATCCTCACATTCAACAAGAATTACCTCTCCTCTGTTGAGTCTCTTTCACATCCACTCCATTGTGAGTGTACCACTGTCCGTCTGTCTTGTCATAACTGACTGGTTCAGGAGTGGGTTTGTGAGGTTCTACTGTCAACAAGTCTGTTGGCAAATTTACCAGATAAAATTATTTTTCCTTAAACTATAGAAATATACTATTGGTGAACCTTATTTATTGTTGCCATAATATCCTAAAACCAAATATTATGGTTCTCAAAGAAAAGGTTATTCCCTGTGTAGCCATTAGTAACTAAAGAAAATTACATTTTAAAAGTAAAATCAACAAAGTTTTATAATGGATTAGAATCTGATTGTTTTTCCACAATATAAGGTACATTTAACTATCACAAATCATTTCTGATCAGAATGTTCTATGTGCAATAATGCTGGTTTTGCCGAACAATGGAGTCCATTGTTCATGTGTTGCTAACTTTGTATCAAGATGGTTCACTGCTATTAGCTACACAACACCTCAACCAATTAACAATTGGTTCATACATCATGCGTGTGTTCATCAAGATATGAAGTACACGGGAAGTTTGAAGTACACTGGTTAAAAGTATAGAAGATCCATGAAGCAAGAACTTCAACTTGTGGCATTCACCATTACAAGTACGATAAACAACCAATCTTTGATATGAAAAATTATTCTTCAAACCCATCACACTTCTTCTTTTTTTATCAAAAACCCTAACCCAGAGTTAAAATATAATGCTGATCCAGATGTATGCATCATAATTCCAGCCATGCTATGTTTACATTTAAGACTGACCTTTATGCCCTCCACCTTTCTTAGCAGTCTTCAGGTAATCTGTATCTATCTCTATATCTATTGAACTTGCTGTACTTGATGGACATGGGTTCTTAGGCAGGGTAACCATTTCTAAAAAGAGTAAACAGGAATAAAAATTAACAGATATTGAGGCATAGGAACTGTTCATCAGAGTATCTAGCCCAAACTGGTACAATAACTTCATCCAGTCCTTGAGAAAAAAAGCCATGAAAACTCAGAACCCTTCCTTTACATCATTTACATTTATTTTAATGAATGCGCCTGTCTGTGTTTTAAAGATATGAAAACGTGAGAGAGTATGTAACATTTGATTGAATATATATACTTCCTGGTAAGGCAACTCCAATACTTTCAAACTTTCAGAACTGTAGTTGAGTTTGCACTTAATGATACAAACATTATTAAGTAATCAACACACTAAAGGACACAATGATGCAGTCACAAATATACAGCTGTGTGCCCATGATAGACCAAAGAACAAGGTGGCATAATGAACAAGTTTTGAAACATAACTTTCCTAGGTAAGACAGTGAGTCTACTGGTGTACCTTTAACATACTTATGCTACTTATTATTCATAACAACTTAATCCGTTGGTCAGTTTTAATCGCTATTTATACAATGTGAGTAAATTCATAAAAGCAGACCCATAAATGAAGCTTCAGTGCATTAAAGTATGTTTCATGGAGACTGACAAGGCAACAGCTTTTAAGTGAAGCTGTGATTGTTTTCAGTTCTACCTTTCCTCCCTTGTGTTTCTTTAATATCCACACCATCATGAGTGTACCACTGTCCATCTGTCTTTTCATAATTGACCCGTTCAGGGGAGGTTAGGTGAGGTTCCATTGACAACAGATCTAAGGCAGGAAATAATAAAAAAATAATGAAATAAATAATTAAAAATGAATACCTCTTACATTTATAATAGATCCACTGATTACACCTAAAGGTGCTAAAGAGGCTCCTCAAGAACCTAATGCCTCAAATCAGACGCTATCTTTGCCAACTTTAGCAAAAAAACTCATTCAAATATCTCCTTTTCTCCTCTTAGTTATCATTGAGTGGGTCAAAACCTGACAATGTTCCAAAATAATGTTTCCTTCATTTCTTACAAAAATAATTTCATATTCTGTTTGCTGCAGAAGTTACTCTCTCAACAATTTCTATACAAACCCTATAATCAAAGATAAGCTGGAGTAATGAGAAGCACTTAATACTAAAAATAAGGAATGGAAAATTAGTAAGCATATGACATCTCATGAATGTCAATGTATCAAGCTGAGGGATGCATGTTTGATCAGAAAATTAACTCTTTGCCTTCCTTATAACAGTCAACTAAATACAAATAATGCCCAAATCCCCAAGTTAGTAACATGGTCCTTACAAGCAATAATTACTGTAGTGTGAACTGGAAACCCTTAAATTTCAATTTGAATGTGTTGACATGGGTACCTACATGTACTTTGGAATATTTCAACACTCATCAATTAAAAAATAAAAGTAATTTATTGCAAAGTCTGTCATCTGTTTCCTTTTGTAGGGGATGAATTCTTTAGTAATGATGTTGTAATGTACACCAGAACAAGGAAACAAGTTTGGGAAATATCATTGGTCATTTTTGGAAGTTTTTTTGACAAGTGCCAATAAGTATCCCTGGGTAATTAAACTGTGCTCTGTGGGAAAATCTACCTACATACCGAAAAAACCAAACTGTTTCTACTAAAGGGAAATGGGCACATGAGGTTCAGAGGAATACTGGCATGAATGGAAATTTTTCAGCCACACTCTCCTGTTGCTGCTATACCACATTTTAAATTATTGCAATCTTGTGTATATCAGTGAAAACCCTGTCAACCTCACCTTTATGCCCTCCCCCTTTCCTTGCAGTCTGCAGGTATTCTGTCTCAGCTTTACACTCACTTGCAGAATCGCTAAATGTTCGACGACGATTCTGACCAGATCCAGAGTCTGATGAAAGAAGAAACCATGTTAAGCTATGTACCCTGACTGAAATGTACATAACAGAATGGCTATGTTTATAACTGTTTGAAACTAGAAAGCAATCTAACTTCTGACCAGATTTTTCAACTCACTAAACTGAAAATCTCTCATCATAATATTTCACAAAAGCAGCAAAAGCTGGGTCTACAATGTTACTTAAAAGTACTTTCTGTACTATTCCTTGACACTTTTTGTTCATGTATTTCAACTGAAAAGTCCACTCATAATATTGCACAAAAGCAGCAAAAGCTGGGTTTACAATGTCACTTAAAAGTACTTTCTGTATTATTCCTTGATGCTTTTTGATCATGTATTTCAACTGAAAATCCCACCCTTGACATTTTTTGTTCATGTATTTCAAACAAGCTTAAGGATAACAAGCGGAACATGACACAGACATGAAAAATAGCAAACAGAATTCTTCTACATGCATTCCACCGTTCTTACTTTTACACAATTAAGTCAATGATTTATAAGAGGATTATTATGAGCACTGATACAATTTATAGAGTAAACAAGAGCTCTAAATATTTCAAAGATTAAACCTAAACAAGAGTTGTTCCTAACATGTACATGTAGATGCACTTGACAAGTTTTTTAGGGGGATAAAAGTATCCTGTGTGGTATACATAAAATTCTTTGAGTAAGAAGCATACTGTATCTACTCTCTTTATGGAATCTGAATCATACTTTACCTTGTGGTCCATCTCTGATTACCATGTCATCTTGATTGTACCAGTCCCATTGTTTTTTTTCATACTGTCTTGGTTCAGGTGAAGGAGTATGAGCTTGAATGCTCAATAAATCTGCAGACAACATGACAATTATATAAACAAGCATAAGTCATAAGTCTTTAAACCATTGAACTACTGTGGTCAACAAATGTTCACTGTGCCATACAACAAGTTCCAATATATTTGCATATGAATTACATGTAACTTATTTAATAAATGTGAATTTCCCTTAATTTTGTTGTATTCAGTACATGGGGTTACATCTGTACCTAGTCCAACCCTTCAATATACATCCAACGTTTATTTGTTTATTCATTTATTAGCAATTATATTAATGCAGGCTGGCCCAGTTCAGCTTCAAGCAGGTTTGAATGGGGGCCTGCTTAGGACATATTGAGTAAAACAAGATGTATCTAGAAATACAAAATACAAAAGAAGCCTACAACACAAATTACAATTGACACATAGGATATACAATATATATGCTACATTACAAAGTACATTACACCAATTACATAAATGAAGTTTGAGAAATCTTTTGAAAATTAGGCAGTGAAGTTACGTTTTGCAGTTTACTAGTTAGAGTAATCCACACCTTTGCCCCTTTGTAGCAAAAAGAACCTTAATATTTGGATGTTTTGGCCAAAGGCAATCACAAAAGATCTCTATATCAGGTATTGTAGGCAAGATATTGGCTAGAAAAACTAAATCCATACAAAAGATAGGCAGGCATGAGACTGTGCAGGCATTTAAACACTTGTAGGCAAGTGTGATATTTCCTGTAATTTTCTAAGGAGGGCCAACTAAAAGTACATGCGCTGCCTGTATTTTCTACTTTACACCCTTCCATGGTACAAGCTGCTCACAGTTGCAATTTGTCCAGGTGTGTTTTGCAATTTGTCCATGAGCATTATACAGGTCTCCTGAGAAATGATATAGCAAATATCAAGGAGGCAATATGGTCAACTACATGGTAGACCCTACTAAGACCCTAAAGGTAAACCCTAAAAGTCTTGTCAAACGCTATTTAAGATGCTAAAAGTGACAAATCTCAAGAGCCCTTGATGTGTTCCTACAAACCCTTTAATGTTCAACTCAGCAAAAGTGAAAAAAATCTATACACAAGACTGGGCAGTAGATACTATTAAATAACAAAAAGATTTATGCTCAGTTACACACAATGTCAAAGATAAGCTTGGATTTACATGTAAGCAGAATGCAAAAATACAAATAAGTGATCAGAAATAAATGTTCCAATATGTGTCATCAGCTAGGTACCTTTATGTCCTCCACCTTTCTTGGCCAGGTCAAGATAATCTGTGTGCTTTCCTCCAGCAGCTAGTTGTGCATCATCACCATTATGGAGTAAACCATTCAAGGCCAAAGACAAGTCTGTTATGGAAAAGAAACCACCACAATTATCAAATTAGCAAGTTTGCAAATTTTGTTTGCTAGAGTACAATCAAAGAGCTACCAAACACTTCCAAGAATTCTAAATCATACACGAGTCTTATAACAGTCCATTCCTATATATCATCAAGAGGATAATTTACAATACTCAAACAGATTCATGTAAACCTACAAATTTGGGGGAGGGGGGGATGTACAACACAACTATATATGATCTTATTAAAGGTATAATAAAATCTTACAGATCTTTGTCAAAGGGTGGTTAACACATTTCTCCAGGGTAAGATGCAAAATCCAGTACATAGATTGACAGAATTAAAAAATTTCCCTTTTAAATAGTCGCCTCATCAAGTTACAATGGTAATGACAATGCTCCAGTGATGTATAGAAAGAAATAACCCATATCATTGGTTTGTCATCAACTGGTTTATTTCAATAGTCGCAGTCATCATGAAGGCCATGGGTAATTGCAGTTCTTTTACAATCAACTAATAATATGCATAAGGCTGACCAGCTTCAATTCATGAGGGGAAATACAATTTGTGACAAAATTTACAAATTATACTGCACCTTTCCTCTGTTGGGTCTCTTTCACATCCACTCCATCCTGTGTGTACCACTGTCCATCCTTCTTGGTGTATTTGACTGGTTCAGGAGTGGGTGTGTGGGGAACTACTGTTAATAAATCTAATATTTAAGAGGAACAGTCAAAACTACAAACAACTAATAAGCATGGATGCTGAAGTAGTTTTACAAAAATGTTTATTAGTACTTACAGGAGAATGTGTTTATATGTAGCACCAAAGAGCTGACTATGAAAAATGACTAACACAACTAGGATTCCAAGGAATATTGATACATTTGGCAGAAACAAATCATGTAATTATACCTCAATTTCTTTGAAGCTTGCCAACGCCTAGCAAGTCTTCATGTAACTTTGCCCCAAAATGAAAACTCCATCATTGAGTTTTCATTTTAGGGCAAAGTTACATGATTTTTTGTGATTTTGAAGACTACACCGCATGGACATAATGACACTAGCAGTACTAGAAAATTATTCAACAAGTTAATCAATTAAAAACAAAAGATTACTTTGAGAATTCCTGATCAAACCCCAAACTTCATCAACATTGTTACTTGTGTTAAGATCTTCTAAGGGTTACCTTTACGCCCTCCACCTTTCTTTGCAAGTTGAAGATATTCTGTATCCGTCTCTATGTCTACTGAGCTTTTAGCAGATGAAGATAGTTGATCCCTGGACAATGTAATCATTTCTAAGAGAAGGTATTAGAAAGTGAACAATAAAATTTTACGACTGTGAAATTTTTATGATTCCACCCCCCACCCCACATTATGATATTAATAATACAAGTTGTGATAAGATGTAATGTCAAAGAACTCTCACCTTTCTTTTGTTGAGTGTCCTTGACATCCACTCCATCATGGGTGTACCACTGTCCATCCTTCTTGTCATATCTGACTGGTTCAGGAGTGGGTGTGTGGGGTTCTACTTTTAACAGATCTGTAGAATGAAAATTATTTGTTGGTTTACTATCGCTCAGGTTTTAAATTGTCACAAACCCTGGTCTTAAACTGAAAACTCCAGTTTGGGACAATAACTCTGACTTATATGACCACCAGAGCCCAAGTATGCTTTGGCCACTGTTTCATAACCAAACTCTAAAAAAAAAAAAACAAAAAAACCTAACTCAATAACCTCATGTGGCAAATGTAATTGGCTGAGAATTACTATAATTTTACATCATTGGAAATTCAAACCCTAAATGAATTTAGATAACAAAGGCTACAGCTGGAGCAAACCAATTTAATAATAGTGATAACGAAAAAAATGTGAGTAACATTACTTATTTCATCAAAACTATTTTTGGTGGGAGCTCATTGCCTAAAAGAATCTTCAGTGAGGCCCACAACAAAAAAGTGTCCCATGAGGCACACCCAATACACTCTTCTGTGATCTGTTATTGTATACGCCCACAGCAAAATGGAATTGACTTGTTTTATATGGAAAAAAAATGGTGTTGGTAGTGAAATCTTCTATGCATCTGTAAGAACCAATCAAAATGTATAATTCAGCTTATCACATAAAGTGTTTTAGACTCTAAATTTTGCTTGTCTTGAAGTCATGCACTTTGAAGTTGGGGCAGTTTTAATCAATTTCTTGAAGCATGTTCCATAACAAAGTCTTACATTGTACCCTAACTTAACTCTCTCAAAAACATACTTTCTACTCTCAGCACTCTTAAATTGAGGAATAAAACTTCCCAAAATGACCCTGCTGGTTTATTTTGAAATGTTTTACAAAGTTCATGTAGTCTTTGTAAAGTAGCTCTGTCAAATTTATAACATGAAGGGAGAAAGTTACAAGTAGCCGGTTTATGTTGGTTTCTGTAGTTCATGGTCATCTCCTTCATGGTAAACAACTGCATGGACTGACATTTTATTTTAAAAAAATTAAACACAAACCTGCATGTCCACCACCTTTCTTTGCCATCCGAAGGTAATCAGTATCATTTTCTCTAGTACCATTAATTGCCATATACCCATTCAAACCAGACGGTGAGGCTGAAAAATCTATAAATGGCCAACCAGTATTTTAAGCATATATTTAAGATGTATGATGTTAAAAACTTGAAAAACTGTTTGAGAGGTCTAGCTGAGTTGATCACTTTGTTCATTCTAATAAACTGCTTTAAATGGATTTCATCATTGTACAATAATTTGCAAAAGTAGTGAAAGCCAAATCTGGAAAAGGTTACAAATTTGGGAATTTCAATGAAATATAATGAACCTTAGTTCACAGCCAAATTTTTGTAGAACTCCATTGTTTTGGCTGATGTGTGTTTTTAAGTGCTAATTTCCACACAAGTTTAGGCAGAAGCATGTCAATTTTTCTGACAATTAACCTTGTCTCTGCACTGTTCCTTGTACTATCAAATAAGAAGACAAGTCATCATGGTAAAAATAATTGTACCTGATTGCAATGTGATAGATTCATTATGGTGTATCACTATGACTGAGGTGAACTATGTGAATTTGAAAAAGCAACATAGTGAAAAGTCTTTCAGCTAAAGGCTTTGAAAGTGTTTCCTTTGAGTGAACACATTGCTTTACATGTTTACATGTTGATTTCACAGCTTTTTGGGCAAAATTTCTTCTAAAATTCCAGACAACAAAAAATCAAATTTGTGCATTTCACTTGTTACACATACTTTTGCACAATATTGTACTTTTGGTTGTTTCTCTTTACACATCAACATCACATCCAGATCATGATGCCTAAAATAAGCAACTTACAGTGTATATTTACAGAAATCATTAATGATTGGCCTTACACTCACATCTCTCTCAATTTTTACTTTGACTTTTCAGTTATTATACAACAATATCCGTCTTTGTACAATATTAACATTTTGGGGAGTTATAAAATATATCTATGCTTACAAGACTTATGAGACCTCACATGTACATACAGACAGGAAGGACCACCATTTTTATATTATTTTGAAAAAAAAACATCTTTCTCTGACCACAAACCTTCATAACCAAGACTATCAACATATAAGTCTTGTCCTTCCACATCTGACAGGCCCCTTTGTGTGTTTGGGATGGAATCTTCTTCCTCCCTCAGTGAAGAAAAGTCTAATGCAAGAGGAGTTGGCAGACGGGAATCCCAAGACTCATCCAAGGAGGAATAATCTTAAAATAAAATTGAGGATTACACATTTATTAGCAAAAACAAAGAGGCCACTGACCACAGGGATTGGGAAGACTGTGCACCATGCAGTAATGAAAATAGAAATTTTCTGGAAAATGTTTAGAAGATTTGTAGACTACCACAAAGAGTTCTGGAAAGCAGACAAATATAGATTAACAGTACAGCTGTCAGAGGAAACCACAGAAAACATACTGCTTGCTTTAACCTCTGTAACCAGTTTTTTCAAGATAAATTTATGTGAATAAACTAATTTTTACCTAAATTATATTAATAATGAGTTGAGAACTTGAGAAAGACAAGGTTTAGGTAACTTCCTGGTAACCAATCCCATGAATGACCATGCTCAACCTAATCTAATTGTTCAGAACAATGCATAAATTCTAGTAACATGCCTCAAGAGGCATAAAAAACAATTTTTTAACAAATATATATTTATGCACAGCATTGTTTTCATTCCTGATATAAAGCCATTGTTATAAAACTCTTGGTGTAGAGAACTATCACTTTTCACATTTTCTTTATAAGATGGCAGGTAATTGTGCTGTCAGCAAGATCAATGTTTTCCTCGCAGGACAAACAATAAACTTTGCCACAACCACACAGTTAATTTTTCTAGATATGGCTTTGCTGATATCTCACAACCGAATTTGTGTTTCTATTCAGCATAACAAGTAACATGAAACTAAATAACAATATCCATTCTGTTACAAAATAAATTGTGTTTGAAAATTACTCCTCTGTATTAATATGCAAGTATTTCTTGACACACATTGAGAAAAAATTAAGAAAAAAACTAAACACACAAAGGCCATCAAATAAGATTAAGTTATTTACGAAATATTCTACCTGTTTAGGTCAGGTTGGCAATTAAGCCACGACATGAATTCCAATCTCACACAGCAGCATGATTTTAAGAGTTGCCAGTAATGAATCTAAAGATAACAAGTTCATTTCTCCTGTGGTAACAGGTGGATTTCTTATCCTGTGGTTCATGGGAAATCTAATGTATCAGCAAATTGCGACAAAAATAATTTTGATAACGAGTTGAAATATTTCGAAACAAACCCTTAAATTACAGTCTGATCGAATTTGAAAGCACTATCTGAATTGATATCGACATTTCGAGTGAGTTGTGGCGAGATTGTGATTTATTTGGGTTTGTTATTCAACATTAGGCGTCAAGTTTGGTCTTTGTGCAGTGATAGTCAAGTAAACAATTTAGCGAGACAAAAGCTAGGCTTTGCATAATTTACGACCACTTTATGTAGTGTGAGACGAAACAAACCGAACGCATTTCTCGAAGGTAATAAGCGATATGGTGACCCTCCGGGGAGGTAAATGTTTCCTGTCGTCCCATAAGAGTTGAGCTAACACGACAAAATAGTTCTCACTTGATGCCAGACAGTAGATGATCGTTTACAAATAACCTTGAAAACTGAACAAATAGACCGAGAGCATTCGAAACCGTTGCCAACTCGTGCTATGGAATACCCCGTAGCGACGCTAGGTAAAGGTTGAGACCCTTTGGACCACGAATTGTTAATTACCATCAATCATCACGCATTTGCAACTAAAGAAAAACCTCTTTGGAGAAGAAAACAACCACAAAGTTTGGAAAACAGATAAAATATATTTTTTCAACGGCCTATTACTTAAACCTTCTCCCGTCTCCTCCACGATTGATAACTAGAGAAAACAAATAGCAATGACGCGCAAAATGAAATTTGTGTCACACAGAATAATTTTTCGCTTTCTTGAGCACATCACAGGAATCACAGCTCAGCTTAAAATATTGCCAGGATTTTACGGTTTTTAACGATCGCTTTGTTTATCAGCCCCTCCTACCACAAATTATTATCCGCTTTCGCGTTATAAGATTATCATATGTAGATGAATTCTGACGAGCAGCGGAAAATAGGTCTGACACAAGCATTCCACGTAGTTAAAACTCGCTCGTTACACGACGATGGCTTACTTTTCGATTAAACTTGACACTCCACAAAAATGAAATCTTTACTCCATTTAAAAAATAGAAAAAGTCAACGAATGGCCTCTTAGACAGCATTTGGATAACTAATGAACCCTAAACAGATTCGTGAAATTTAGAATGAATAATTGACGGCCAAGAAACCGCATCTCGCTCCAGCTTTGGAACCGATGGTGTTCATAGTTAAGCACCGTGCTAGTTTTGTGGCGAATCTCGAAACCAATATGAAATAAAACATCTGAAGTAACAAACTAAAAATATGACGTTCAAGTAAGCAGTAAAGATCGTGCAAAATAAAAACAGTTAAATATCGTGCGTCCAAAGTTAACGACGTCTCACAAGCAGGGAGACATATGCCCAGCTGAAAGGCTTGTGTTCGCCGTCCGCTTTCCACCAGACAAATTACTGATGGCTGAAAAAATTACACCAGAAGAAACGTAGACTACTCACCATCTATAGACTGGTTTTGCGGGGAGAGAACCTCCATATCCCGTAAAAAAGAGAACTCGCTCTGAACGACGAACGCAGCTTCCTGCGACGAAACGGAAATTATTCACCTTTACTATGTTTTCTTCAAGCAACACGCGTTTAGGCCACTGACAACCGCGTGGGACCTGACACCCTTATCAACAACTAACAGCTGTCAGGGGAGGACTAAATTGAGCTAGTTGTTTCTTGCCACTTTTGAAATTTTAAAACAGGTCTGCTGATTTCTTGTGATAAAAACTTATCAAATATTTTCTTAGTTTAGACTCAATACATTTTCTTAAACTTCAAACATTTCCTTTGTTAGTTTTTCTCACAATAAATTTTAACTTATAACCCTTCCCCCGACAAATTTATAATGTCGCTGTGTTTGCCAAGCGATTGCGTTGGCGCGGAATTTGACGGAACTTGTCCTATATTATATGATTAATGTTGGAATACGTATCCGTGACGGTCTGAAGCTCCGTCATTATCAAAATTAACACATCGGACAATAAAGTCAGCCCTGAGGAAAAACACGTTCTAATGGCTGACCAATATTTCCTCGCGTAATTGCAAAAGTTTGTTTAAAAAATAAAAAGCCTAGAAACAATTGGAAATTCTTAATTATCCAAGAAACTATCGCAACAATAAGACTCCCGCGACGCTAATAAGCTATTTGTCATTGAAGACATTGAAATATGGGTTTGCCACTATAATGGAGTTTTTAAAACTGGAAAGGAAGATGTGTCACTTTCTGGCACGAAAATCTTGCTTAGCTTAAAAATTAATTAAATAGGACGATGATAATCATCTGTGGCGACAAAATTTCCAAAGGATTCTTTGCACAAGTTTTATTCCGTCACCTATGTTTATTTGTATATTTATCCATGCATTAAAAGTTCATGTTTCCACGACACAAAAACTGCTCGTCCAATTTGAGTGGGAGCGTGTTTACATAATTTTGACGAGGATATTGAAATTTAAAAAAATGACAGACTTCCCTGTTGGGCAGCCGAAATGAAATGAATGATTTTGAACATTTTCGTTAATTCGTCTTCGTCACTAACTGGACATTGAAAAGCGTTCTTTATAAGAACTGGGAAACTAAAAGTTATCCGCAAATTGATTTATAACCATGACCGATTTGTTGCAATACATGTGGAAAAATGTAAACAAACCAGAAACTAAAAATAGCATCTAAAAAATAATGTGGGAATCATATCCTCAAGACTATTCCATTTTACACTCAAATATTATAATGAGAGATTTAAGTACCAGTCCTTCCCCTGGTGAATCGCTTATTCGATAACGATTTCTAATTTAGTTATGTTCACTTATTTAAAGCTTACAGCTGAAACTCTCTTGATAGAAAAAATGAGCCAAGTCTAATTTAACTTTCAATCCAGATTTTGAAATTTAATATTTTAAGTACTCAAATTTGTTACCAAGTATTCACAAAGGAGTCGAATTTTCCAGAGGTAAACGAGAACTGACACGGCAGTGTTAAGTGCGGTAACCTGCTAAGTCACTCAACCGTTTGTTCTCATGAGAACGACTCTTGATCAGGGTTGACGGAACCAGCCAAGCGAACAGTTGAACTTTAAACACAAGAATTTTATGAAGATTACGAGATTAGTTTAGAAATATGTTCTGCTCGATTTGGTCCACCTGGTTGCCCCGATAGACATGTTGTGGGGAACTGAAAATTGGGCTTGACCTCAATCAGTCGGAACCGAGATGATCTTGACCGTTTTTAAAAGAAAGATTTGAATCAAACAGAAACATAACCCAACAAATTTGTTAGATTAGAGATAATCGACATGTTTTATTTTTACAAAGTGATCGTCTCAGGAAACATATTTCAACAAGGTCTGTCTTTTACTGAGTGAGTAAAAGGAAATATGTGATTGAACGTCACTTCCTGGGCGTTACCCCACGTTAGTCGTTCTACGTGATGAGCTGTTTCATTTTAAACTCTGAGATGATCTTTAAAGAGGTTTTACCCGTACTGATCATACTTCTATCGCCTTCGAGTAACTTGAAACTAAGTCCAAATCACATACATTTAAGATTAAGAGTCAAACGAATCTCTTGAAAGATTAAGAACAGCATAAAAAAATCATGCCACTATCGCCCCACGGCCAAGATGACAAACGACAATATTAAGCTTGATTAGAGGGCAAAGACAGCTGCATCCATGTCCTTGTCGATATGTTTTAAAGAATGTTTTGAGTTTAGTTTTCCTTAAGACCTACCTGAGAGAGAGGACCTTAGGCAGTAATTGATCTGTTGGCAATAACCACTAAGTGTGTTTAAATAGGACTCGTACGATAAGAACATGGAGACAATAGCAACAGTGACATCATCTATAACAACAAACGCTTTACAGCAAGGTGTCTGAGTCAGACATGTGGATTGTCCATCGCCGTATGGTAATTTCGTTTGAATAAAATTCAAATTGCTTCCTTTCTCTGAAGTTACCACCATTCAAATTCAACAGAGAAGCAAAATGATCTCACTGACCTGTCCTCTGAGCGCTGTAGCTGAAGTAACTACCTCGCAGAGAATAATAAAGTTTGCTTTCGCCTCCCTTTACATAAATTACTCAGGGACTATAATATTAAGAACTAAGCTCTCTCAGAATCCTTTTGTAATTGATTAACAACTTGTAAACCCTCTAAATAACCTCGACGCGGCAAAAAAAAGTTAAATGAATGGAGAGAATAAATAATACCTTGGATAAAATATCATGATGGTAGACGTATAGACTTTTAGCGCACAAAGGTTCCTACAATACACGAGAAGGAAACAAAAGAACAAAAGCAGCAAATTCTGTTCACAAACGGCGACCGCTTCGTCTGGTGCTCCAGAAACAAACGCCTTCGACCACTCCGTCATGCAAATAAAGCGGCTCAGTTTAGCAATACTGTAGTTTCGTAATCCTTTAGTCTCCGACGTAGATTACTGAACTCGATTCGAGAAAAATTTTAAAATCCATCCGTGAACCGTGTGACTCTATCAAATCAGCTTACAAGGAAGTCAATTGAAGGAAATTTTTGCTGGAATATCCTACATTTAGTACAGAAGTATCATGCCCAAAGAAAGGATCCCGCAACAATGCAATGCGTAAGGAGAATGGAAACATGTACTGAGATTATTTCGTGGAAATAAAAGCATTTTGTTTGATTATCACTAGTCAGTAGTTAAAGTTACAATATCTTTCGCACCTTTGAAAGGAAATAAGTAATGAATCTATTTCAATTTTGTCAGGAAATGATCAGACCGCTATTTTTTATCTGCGGCTTTAAAGTTGATCATCCTAAGAATGGGAACGAAGCCAGTGACAGGCACTCAGTGAGCGAGAGCTGAGCAAATGATAAACGTTCCGGGGAAAGCGACTTCATACTGCGAGTATTGGCTAAGTTGGATGAGGTGATAACTAAGAGCCATTGTTGTTGTCAAAATCTACCGAAGGAGTCAGCTGCCCTTCGAAGATCTTAAAGATCTATTGAAATGAAAATGAGTCAACATGTGAGAAAAGATGGAACATAGCTACCAAGAACACAGATTGGCATTTTAATTAAAACATTATAATAAACAAAAATTGAATGCTTCTGGAAAGTAATTGAAAACGACTTAAGCCGAAAATAGATTTCAAGCAAGGGGCGCTTATCTACTGGCTCTGATTGAACTAGAAAGTACATAAGCATTCGAACACTTTAGCTTAGATGTAATAGTTACTTCACCGCCAAAAGAAGGTTAGATTAGCATACAGTATTGATTAATGCTGTTCTAAGATTTATAATATTAAATACAATGGACTCCCAAAAGGTGACTAATGTTAAGACCTGGATGATGATGGTTTCGGAAAAATCAGACCTGACTGGTATGAGTTGTGTCGAACTGAGTAATAAGTATAAAGCACAAGAGCTAAAAACTGACACGGTATCGATCATTCAGTAGAGATAACTCAAGTTAAAATACAAAACTTATCACTCACCGATATCTTTGTTTGCTTGTTAAACACAGACCTCTTTGTGATTTCGTCATCAAACCCTTGTACAATGAGGTTCTTGAGGAAAAGTAACCAAAACTGTTAACTGTAAATATATGAAAATCATAAATAAGGCCTGATGCTGCTCAAGTAGAATTAATTACTGCGAAGATTGCTTTCATATTAACCTCTTTATCTGCAAATTACATATATGATTTTCATGCATTCATAGTTATTGTCATTATCGTTATCATCTTGATAATTATTGTCATCATCATTATTACAATTTTCATGACTTTTCAGGTTCAGGTAAGTCTCGTTGTTCATGTCCTGGCTTGTTTCAAGTGGATGAAATTTAGGTGACTTTTTTTTCTATTCATTTCTGTGATCAATTCAATTAAAAAGCAGTTTTCACAGAGAGATATTTTCTGTTTTCTGTAGTGTCTACAAGGACAGAATCTAAGTGAAGACTTATGAGCAACTCAGCTGGATAGAAGAGGCTACTGCTGAAATACACATCTTTACGTGATTACTTCAGTAGCCGGCGCTAGGTTGCTTTCCTCATAAACTACTTGACTTGTGCACACTTGGAAATGTTACTGAAAGGGAAGAAATAGAGTTTGATACACAGACTCTTTGATCCTACACTTAAACTGATCGTAGCCTCTTAACCACGGTCACTTTCTTGACTTACATATTTATATATTAGTGTACAAACTGATTAAATGAAAGACTGGATGACCCTTTGTCATGTCATTTAATCCATGAGATGATGTTCACCGGCCGAAAAAAAAAAACTGACAGTGCTAGTTTAGTGAGTTAGCGCGCTTTCAACTGGCCCGCAAAAGAAAATAAATTACGGTAACGCATCCCTTTTGTTACCTGGATATTTTTCATAATCGTCTGTGCGTATACAACAAGGTTCCGCGTTTGAGGAATAAAACCCGGAGTGTGGTATCAGTATACATGAAGACGTTAATCCGACCCCTGCAACCTTTGATGCCACGAATGCTGAAGTGTACTGAGGCAAGAAGAACACCTTTAACATTACCTGGAATTCAAGGAAACTACTCCAATTCACACGTTAGATCTTGCCAAAATGAAAACAAAACAACATCATGAGTCGAACGAGTACTTTAATTTGTGATTTTACAGATGAATTGAAATCGGTACAATCAAAAGCCTTATTTAATTTTTTTTGTCACTGAATCCCAACTAGAAATGTTAACTCTACACCGTTAGAACTAAAGGAGCGTTCTTCGTTCTCTTGCAAAATAACAATATTTATTGGAAAAAACCAATTTTGAAAAACTTAAGAAATATTAGGAAGTTATTTTCAATGTTCCTTGAGAAGGCGATGGAGTCAAGTATCATAAAGAAAAATCTCAAAGCAAACAAAAAACAATACTAATCAAATAGGCAGAAAGCTGTGTATGGAGGTAAGATAAAACTCACTTGACAATTAAACAGATGGTGAGTGACAAGCATCCATCCCAATACTTAATGAAAAACATACATCATAATCAGGTACTCAAGCGTGCTTCCTAATACTATTATGCATGCTTACGGCGCCAGGAGACAAGTACCTCGAGTTTGAAATTTTCCCACCACAGTTCCCGTCCAGCTTAGCTACGAGTTTTGAGATTTTTTATTAAACATTTTGGCTTTGCTGTTTAGTTATAATTAGTTATAGTTTTCAGTTAGTGCGCGGTGTTTTGGTAAACCCGAAAAATGTGCACCTCAACTTTGAACTGTGATCACCAAGTTAATCTAAAATTTTGATTTCTGAGTAGATTTTGGCTAAAACTATCATTAGTTGGGAATACGTTGTTGAACTGTTCTTATTTCATAAGAGCTTGTTTTATTTTAGATTTATTGCACGCTTTCTTTCTCAAAAGTTTTAAATTGAGAGAACAAAATCCAAAGAACTGTGTCTAGAATGAAATAAAGCAATTGGTTTATACGTCAGCAGTGCATTCATGGAGATATGGTCAGATATGAAGCATTGAGAAGTTTTGAGAGCACTCAAGAAGCAAGAGTTGCTCGAGGCGTAGCCAGAAGCAACTCTTACGCTTCTTTTGTGCTCTCCATTAACTCCCGCCCATGAACGTACACTGACGTATGAACCAATTTTCAATTCAACCACACTAATTATTACCTGTTTCAATTCACCAAAAGCTATTTTGTTTTATTTCTGATAGAAGACGGGGAAAATAATCGCGTTTACTTGTATTGCAATGGCCAGTTACCTTCTCTAAAACATGCGTGGGCACATAATTCCCTTGGACGTGAAACGGAAATGCGTAAGTCGTCGGTGTTGAGTGGCCATTGGTAAGAATTGTCGTAGAAGTCCTTTGAAATAAAAACAATAACATCTTGTTATGAGCGTGGGACAAAGAATAAATTCTGAGTCACCATGAGGAATCGAACCTTAGGCTTCGAATTCCGCGCTCCGATGCTCTACCACTGAGCCAAAGAGACTCTATGGTCAGCGAGGCCCATTACGAAGTTCATATACGACAAGCGTCCATCCATACTGCAAGGACCAGCGATGTCGATAGCGTCATGTTTGTAAATAGAATAAGAAAGATTTCCTATTTCTTAATTCTTTTTTTTTTGTTCCGCGCTCGTAACAAGACGAAAAAAATCTTTCTCTATTTCTTTACCAAGCTCAAACCTTATCTTCTTTTTTATTCTATTTGATAACATATTTTTTGCAGTGATACGATAAGTTAAAAAACGCTTGAGAAACGCTGTGGACAACAAAGTGTGCTCCGCTAAAGCCAACTACAGGCGGAACCTTACCCAGGAAAACGTTGATGACTCAAAATCTTTTTGGAGAGCTATGAAAATAATACTTTTGAATGACAAAAAACCAAAACAATACACATCTTTCATCAAAGTCGATAGCAATCCCAAGACAGATAAGAATGCCATTGCTGAAGGTTTTAATCACTTCTTCGTCTTAATTGTCAAGACAATCAGTGAAAAATTATCTCAAGGATCGTCTATATCTTGCCAGTGACAGCAATCACCGTTGCTAAGTTCTGAAGCTCCTTTTAGAAACAAAACCTTCGAGCGAAGTCCAGTAAGACCTGAAGTTGTTTACAATGTTAAAAAAGCTAAAAACGAACAAAGCTACTGGACTAGACAACATTCCTGCACGCTTGCTTAAGGACGGAGCCCCAGTTATTTCGGAGTGCTTGACTCTCATAATTAACCTTTCTTTTTCATATGGAGTGATGCCGGCCGGCTGGAAGACTTGCGCCGTTATTCAAGTCTGGTAACAAGGAAGAAATAGCTAGAAATGGATAACTCTCGCCCAATTTCTATTCTACCAGTAATTTCCAAATTCGCTGAGAAAGTCGTCTATCATCAATTGTTTGGCTATTTAAACACTAACAATCTTTTGTCGCCCTATCAGTCTCGCTTCAGCAAGAATTTCTTCGCTGAAACAGCTGTCACCTTTTTTGTGGATGAAATCCGTAGATACATGGATAATGGTCTTCTCACTGGGGCGGTCTTCATACGATAGACCACTATATCCTTCTAAACATGCTACAGAGATATGGCGTTTGTGACAAGACTCTTCTTTGCTTTTCCAGTTCTTTGCAAGGCCGATCCCAACGTGTAGCGGTCGACAAAGTTTTTTCCACGCCCCTCGATATAACTTCTGGCGTTCCTCAAGGATCAATTTTGGGGCACCCAGCTCTTTTCATTTTGCATAAATGATATGCCCTCTTGTAATTGTTTTCCACAAGTTCTACTGTATGCTGACGATTCAGTGCATTTTTTGCCGCTAAAACTGCTATTGAACTAGAAGAAAGCCTTAACACTGGTATCAAACGTATTTCTTCGTGGGTGCAAGAAAATAAGCTTTTTATGAATATGAGCTAAACCGAATATGCAATTCATGGCTCACACCAAAGGATAAAGCGGCAGGGGAATGTAATCTTATCCTGTAATAGATCTCCTTACTTTTACGGAATCTGATTCTTTCAAATATCTTGGAGTCATAATTGATAAGCACTTGAGTTTGAACAACCATATTAAGCATGTAGTCATCAAGGTCTCGAGGAAATTGGGTGTTTTTATGCTTCTGAGAATCTCTATTCCCATAGCTGCAGCTGAACGCCTCTGTAAGACGATTATTTTACCTATTTTGGACTACTGTGATGTAGCTTGGCAAGGATGTGGAAATTGATTGTCCAGCTGGTTGCCTTGTAAACTTTAATACATCTGGTTTTCAGTGTAAGAATTTAATTTCTCCAGCATTCCTTGGCAGGAAAACTCTAATAGAACGAAGATTTTTACCTATTAAAGGTCAAGAAAAGCATTATCAACTCTCCATGGGAACGTATTTTAAGACGTACGCACGGGCACGGTAAAATGACACGCTAAATAATAGGGAATGGGTGAAGGGACACGGTGGCTCCTGAGCGGTGTGACCGATGGCACGACTTATCGAATTTTCTTTTGTTTCTAATGCACCTCAAAAACAGGGGCGCGTGTCAAGAGGAACAATACTATCATTGGAGTGTAAAATGTCACCCAGCCTACTGAAGTGGGCAAAAAAGCGCACCAGGAAGTGATATAAGGCTCTTGAAGACGGAAAAAAACGTGCTCACAATTTTCAGTTGAGTTTGATAGTAAGTATGCCATTCAAATTATTGTTTCATTCTACCACCTTTCAGGCAATAAAATGGCGACAATTACGTTGTGAAAAAAAATTTCCCTCATCAAGCGTATATTCGTGCCTCTTGTAAATCACTTTTGAAAGTAGTTTGTGAATAATTCAACTACTTCAGTCAACATCAACACCAAAGAGAAATAAATTGGAGTGAAATTCCGAATGCTGAAAAGACCACTTAATCAACACAAATGTTGTCGTTATGTTTACCTATGTTTGCACGGACGAGCACGAAGAAAAATTTTATCACAGTTTTATGTCTTAAGCACAGGTGTTCAAACGCGCGTGGAATGGTTCTGAAACACTACCAATCTAGGGAACAGTCCAGTAGTTAGTAGGTGGTGCAGCCGATCGCTTTGAAAATTTACAGCAAAAGAAATCTGACTTAGTTCTCGATAGCAAACTATAATTCCCTAAGTTTAGTTTGATACCGAGTTTTACAGGTTCGGCAAGATGATTTTTGTTCTTTCCAATATGGTTACGCAGCTTTCTCACAATGTCTTGTCTCGCAAGTAAAACTCGAGTCGTTATTCATACCTGCAGTCGAGAGTGCAAGTGGGCTGTTCTGAGTGCCACGTCCCACACAAGTCTCTTTGTACTCGTATCATGTAGGACGCGTGCCTTTTAGCACGTGCCGTAAGACACACTGAGAGTGTCATACACTGCTTAAAACAAGGCCAAACAAAAGTTACCGCCGAAGGCGATGTTTTCAGAGAAAGATACAGGCATACTCGGAAAAAGGGAAAACTCCGAATGCTCCAGATAAGAGTCAAACCTACGATCTTCCGATTGGCACTTCATCTTTCACTTAAATCGCCAGGCTTACATATGCGCATATTGGCAAATTTTTGAAAAGCCTCGCGCGCCGTGTCGTGACTCGCGTGGCCGTGTGTTTACTTTAGTGCACGTTTTCACGTGGAGGGTGAGGGTCACAAATGAACGCGAAATACAGGGCTCTCTCATAACAATCACTTACCTGCCGTTTTAGGAATCTTTATAGTGCTTTTTCCTATTCTGTTTTATTCCAAATATTTATTGAATACACCACAGGTTTTCCAATGAATATTTTAGCGTAAGGGTTGCTGTGAACTTAACTACAAAATTTGAAATGTTGTAAAGCTATGATGTATTTTATATTTGATGTGATTTTCTCATATTTCTATGAAGCTTGGAAATAAATTATATTGATACTTAGAAAGATATTGAGATTACCATTTGATGTACTCTGTTTCATGACAAGGATCCTAAATTGGCATGTACTGTATACGCACTTGTGCAGCACACATCAAGAGGCACTAATAGCTTGCCATTTCAAAAAAGCACTGGGGCTCGCGAATCTAAAATTTTGTTTGAGCGGCTTGCAGCTCAGTTATATTAAGTTACACTCAGATACTACAAATTGTACTAAGAGATGTAACTTATGCAACGGCATGAAATCACTCGAAATTTGCTTTGATGCCACTACTTGTGACCTTTTACGAGAAAACTTTCGCAATTTTGTTGCTAGTTCTCGTTTAGTGACTGAAAACAATGTTATGGTTCATAATACACTTCTCATATTATGAGTACTTTTCGTATCAGGTACCTAAAATGATGCTTGATTACATTGTGGATGTCTTTTGTTGTACTCCTTACAGCGGTAACCTCATCACACCAGCAAAAAGTGCAAAGTTCGTCCAAAGCTCCAGAGAAGTATTTTTAAAGCGGTCAAGTTTCAAGAGATTGAATAAGTTGTTCTAGTTCTGGCAAACTACTCAACTGCTTAAACAAGTACACAACCCTTACAGGGCCTATTTCGCTAGAGAGTGGTTTAAGTGCCTCCTAGACTAAATGCGAACGTCACCGGAACCAATAGACTCGCGGCACCTTACTCCGTAATTTTCATCGCTTATACTTTCACTCTGAAAATAATCTTTTAGCTTCTGAATTAAGAAAGAGATTATTTCAATTGGTTTTAATATTGATGTCATCAGTTACATCTCACCTTCCTAAAGCAACCACTTTCTCTCGAAGAGAGGTTTGACTGCATACAGAGTTTAACAATATCTAACATCTAACCTTCGGATTTATGAGAATGCATCTTTGAACAATCGCTTCTAGTGCAAAATGCCCTTCATAGGGGAATCCAAGACCTACGAACAACTTAAACCCGACGTACTCTCAGATTAAAAAAATTGAGGTGACATGTAACTAAGGTGGGGGGAGCAAATTGTGTAAACTGAGACTCGCGAGACGCTGGGGCATAGAGTAGCTACTCTAGTTCTAGACCCTCTGGCATATTTAAAAATGTCAGATCTCAAAACTTTGTAAGAAATGCAAGTTTTCGGGACACATGACTTAGGACTAAGGCAGACAAGATTAAGAGACGCTTCTTGTCGAGACGCTTCTTTTTTTGCAAGGTTCCACTTATCGTTTCCAAATGCAAGTGATGGTATTGAAAGCTGACTGAAAACCTCATCGAGAAGCTATTTCCGTGCACAATATAAACTCATTCCTTGAAAGCCAAGTTTTCCGGCCTTACCCGAGAGCTTGCTTCTCTCGGGTTTCGATATCGTTGTGATCTTAATTTCTTGGTTCAGAGATCCAGAAGAATCGCTCTCAGTTAAATTGAGGAAGGGTGAACGTCAATGGTATAGCCTAGCCTGGTTAAGTCCTTGTTGCAAATGACCACACCTAAGGTACAACCAAATACAAGACTTGCGACAAACCAGTGCCTGAACTAACGAAACTTCATAAGGCACTTGGTACCTATCCGAATCCAATCATAATTAGGCATAGCGCCCATAAGAACGTTACAAGCCGCTCAAATTTTAAAAAGGATGAAATTGAAAATACGAATTGAAGTTTACCTTGGACTTCCTCAGCAGTTGTCTGATACCCGTCAAATTTAGATTGCCATGGTTGACAATGAAAGGTAGGGTAGGGTAGCTTTTTCTCCTCTTGTCAACTGAAGCAAAATATCTGAGCTAGCTTATCATCAGAAGACCTTTCGTTCTCAAACAATTCCCCTCAGATATATGAGAGAGTCATCAAGTGAGCCATTATTAGGATGATTTTAATTCAGTGTCATTGTGAGCACATTCCAAAGGATATTGATAATACTTCAGTAAGGAAAAGAGTATTTCCTAAAGTAATTCCCTGAAAATTGATCATTACCTTATCCTGCTTGATCCAAATTGTCCATAAAGTATAATATAGAAGAGAAGCGCCATCAATTAAGAAAATTAAAATGGCAAACCAGGGTTGTGTGCCAAACCAACATAATATACTAAGAGATTGTAAACTCCTGAATATACATACCACAGCTGTGTAACCTCATGTGTTAGGTAAATTACCTTTAAAAAATGTTTGTGAGCCTCAGAGACAGAAAAGAACGAATACATACATAAAAGTTTGATGAGACACAGTTGCAGTTCTTAAGAATTATTGCTCTTTAACAGCAAAAGCGTTAAGGAAATCATCATTATACGTTCTAAAAAGAAATTCACAATTTTCTGACGAGAAATTCTACCCGATTTATAAAAAACAAACGCAGATGTACCTCCGTGAAACTTGGCGAACTGCACGAGAGACATAGGAGATTTATTATGTGTTTGGGAGACTCCAACGTAATTCAAAAGAGTTGTAAAATACGATTTTCCTGAGGAGGAACCAACTTTTCGGATTTTAATGCTCAGAGGGTTCTGCTACAGCTCGCAGGCAAAGATAGGAATAACTATACTGATTGACCTTAATAAAATAACAACATAGAGACTGGGCATTACGTTTATCTCCCTGGTAATCATAACGTCATGAGAAGATAGAATTTAAACACAAAGTCAGCCAAGCGTTTAGTTGACGTAATTTGACCAAGATTTGTAAGGCACTGTATCAAAGTAAATCAGCATTATATTGTTCCTATATGTCGTATTTGATTTCATTTACTCCCTCTCTTGAATCCCGATGACTAGCTATACATATGTCCTAACTGAAGTCAAACGAAATGTGTTGAATTTGATGTACTATCCAGATCCAAATAACAGATACAGCAGAGACATGGTGATAGACTCGCCCAAAGATGTTCTTCTCTAGAATGAAAATAGAGGAAAATGTTATTTGAAAAGAATCATCTGAGTTCAAACCTTCCTTTTGCCTCTTGTGTTACCATTTCCTTTGTTCTTCTGCATGTAATGTAGACATCTCTTCAGTGCGACCACATGTTTGATATCCGTGACCTGATTGGCTGAGATCGAGGTATAGCCTTCAGCATGGAAAGTAACTGATCGAGAGATTTTCGAAATACAGCCTAAAAAAAACAGAGCGACGCCAAATTAGGTTATATCTCGCAGTATCATGTTGTTATTTTCCAGTTATATACACTGCTTAGAAAAAACCAGGAAAGATTTATTACTCGACATTTCGGGGTCATCGTGACTCCATTATCAAGAGACTAGTTTAAAAACATGCAAATAAGGAAAGGTACAAGAATAGCATAAATTAGGATGAACGGCTTAAACAAACACCTTGGCGCGGATGGAATCCGTTTGCACGTTCAGTGTTGGCTTACGCATGCGAATATACAACATTTCATTAACAAGGCAATCAAATTTGCCGTTACATTTCGCGATGACGTTGAATTGCTCGATCAAGCGTTCAGGCATTTCACTATTGTGCTGGAGGTGGTAGTGTTTGTAGATAGAAGATGATTTCCTTGTGTGCCCTTCTACGCGCTCGTGTAAGTGACCACGAGTATAGCCCACATACCCTTCATCACACAGGTTACATTTAAATTCATAAACGATACATTGTTGGTTAACAATAGGGGGCTTAATTTCGTATCTGTATTTATAAACCAAAAGCTCCTATTCTTTTCGGAGCGCGACAATGATCCAGGTGAATGTAATAATACACCCACTAATTAGCTGAAAGGATTGGAAACAATAATTGTTGTGAGGTAAATGATTTGGATATCACTTTTTTATACGAACTTACCTTCTCAAGTATTCGTTCCTTCTTTCTTAGGTATTTTTATATCAATTATATCATGATTATCTACTCCTACCTACCCCTATAAGGTAAACAGAACACAAAAAAGAAAACTTAGTGTTTTAAAGCGACCTGGAAGCCGGCCACGTGAGGAGATATCAGGCTTATCCTCCTTGGAAGTTGACGAGCGAGCAGTTGACGAAGGAAATCAACCTAGCGTGAGAGACATCCAGAAATAACTCCTAGAAGTCCAAGGTACAGTAAATAAATTGTTAAAGAAGAGCTGAACAAACCAAGTACACAGCGTCGCTTGAGATAAAATTGAACAAAATGAGCCAACGAACATGAACGAACATGCAGACGAGCTACAAGATATTGAGGTGAGCTTAGATAATATGAACAAGATTCTAGAGAGGAATCCTTGGAATTTCATGGTATTACGGACAACTTAAGGATGTCAATAGACGAAGTAGTAGGAAAAATTGCCGAAGCTTTTGGTGTTTCAATAACGGGAGATGATATCGAAATCTTACACAGAATACCACACAAGAGAGGCGAAAAACCGGTCCTAACGAAATTTTTTAGCCGAAAAGTAAAGGCAAAGATATACAAAGCCCGAACCAATTGAAAATCTGAGTTATCGATCGTGATCCTCACTGGCACACTCGCAGGGTCAAAAAGGCAATTCACATAAGACTTTACCCTGACGACATCAACGTGGACAATGGAATATAACTTCCTAAAGCGTGGATGCCCGCGACAGTCGGGCAGCCATACGACAGCGGACCATCGAGGGAACAACTCACTAACATCGAGGATCGAAATGCGCCAATCACAACTGTGGAAAAAACCAAAAACTGGTTGATGTGGATGCTCACGAAAACCGGAGGGCCGTGCGATAACGGACCGCCGAGGGAACAACTCACCAACATCCAGGACTGAAACGCGCCAATCACAGCTCTGAAAGAACGAACCAATTACAACGAAGCGTCCAGCTTTATAACCACATTCAAAACCGGTCGACCGCATCGCCTGATGAAGACTAGCGGAATGCAGTCAAACGTGGTGAGTCACATCATGAGTGACCAAACCGTGAGACAAACATTAATTCTTTATTATTTTTGTCCCTTACCACGATAAACAAGCACAACATTTTTACGAAATTTCAAATCTGTTTCTGTTCAAATTTTCTCTTCGGGATCCCATACTGAAAGAGAAGCAACGGGACGCACAAAAGGAATGTACAAGGACGAAAATCTGACACTTTATCGGAGCAAAGTAACGAGCTTGTTGATAGAGAAAAAACGCTACAGAAAGATTAACAACGTGTGGTTACTTGGAAAATTTTCTTCATTCGAGGTTGCAATATTCAAGGTTTACAGAAAATTCTTCATTGTTGATATTCAATATTACTTTGCTATGACACTTGATACTAAAACAAATTAATTGATAACTGCAACTTTGCTCTTAGAAGATATTAATGCATACAACGTTTGAAAACGCCGCTTATAAATGGTCACTACCTTAAAGTCATCTATACTCAATTACAACAACGTTTTCACAGAAAAATATAAAAAACAGCCAACCAAGTAACCTTTTGATAATGTTAATAGTTTCAAAACAGGTGCTCAAAGACTGGTTAAAGGTTGCTCCAAACCTTCACGGGATTCGTCTGCAGTGCATCTCACTGAGTTGTTTTTTGAATCGAAATTAAAAATACAAGTGTTTTTCCAATGGAGGCGTCTTTGAAGGAAGTCAGTCCTCTTCTTTAGCGTAAACATGATTGAAAGAACTTGGAAACAAATGTATTTGTGCAAATTGTAGCCGATTGTTGTTTAACGGCATACCTCGAATCCTTTCATCCGGGATCCCTATGATATAAAGGGGTAAGTTTCTAAAGAAACTGTGGTGCTGCGTCGGTGGGAGAGTATAGCAGGTAATTTAGTGTTAACAACTGGGTTGAAAACGTAAATTAGCCACCGTAAAGGGTAAAAAAAACTGACGTTTCGGGCGTTAGCCCTTCGTCAGAGCGATTAAAGGAATTGTGGGTTGTGTGTGGATTTATATGCAGAAAGTGGAGCTACGCCATTGGTGGGAATATGGTGACGAGAAAACAGGAATAAATTAGTTGAATGAAAAGCGCTCGTTGATTCCGTGGGGATTAAGGGTGCCGATTTGGAATATAAATTTTTGTTCTAGTGTCTTACGGCTTTCTGAACTGCCTAGATGTAAGGAAAGGCCGCAAACTGTCATATGCTGTTTAGAATGGTCAAAGTGTAGTTTTTTAGTGTTTTTTTCGAATCTGGCGTAGGACAGGTTCTTTTTGTAGAACACATGTCAAGACTGTAGAAGGATGTGTATAATAAGAGACTGACTGACTCATCCTAAATTGAATGTCGCCTGTGAGTGTAGTCAGAATGAAGAGAGACCCTGAGAACGAGCTTGATGCCCGACCGGCTTCCGACATAGTGCAAAGGACAGTTCAATGATGATTACATGATGATATTTTAATCCTCTGAAGATTTTTTTAAGGTTAGAAGTAAATAACTATATCATCCTGGAAAGAGTAAGGGCTACTAGAGTTGTGCGCGTGGATTTTGACAGTGCTCTCTTCCCTTATAATGTCAGGTAAGTCCTAACATTTCACTAGGCCACAGAGATGCCGGAAAAGGTAAATAGCAGATCAACATATCACTCATCAATCGACAGTTATTGTTCCATAGTCAGAAGCAATCTGCCGGAAATACAGTTTACATTTAATTTTTTCTTATTCCTTCTTTTCCTCTTGGCGATGACCGTAAATTGCACCGTGCACATTGTTGCTTCACTTTTCACGTTGTTGATTGTTCAAAAACTTATTTGTACCACGGTAATTTAAAACATTGCTTCCTAAATGGAATTAATATTATAGTTTACCTTGTACTAGATGCCAGTGGTAGAAAACCTCCTCTTTGGTGTTCAGTAGGCAATTTACGAGCAAAAGGCCAAAAATAAAAACAAAAAACAAAAACAAAACTTATGAAAAAGACAAATCACATTCGATTGCTCGGTAGCCATACCATTGACCACACTGTTGTATTGGTGAGCCAAGTCTTGAAAGCTTTAGTAGAACACAGCGACGTTTCAGAATGACGAGATTTTGAACTGTCTGTTAGGTCGAAATTTTACAGCAGGAAACTTGGCAGAACGCAAAGAGGAAGAATTTATCGAAGGAATTTGTACAACGGAAACTGTGACAAATCAACGAACAGGGATCTTTCTTTACGTAGTCAACAACAAGTATTTTTTTTACTTCAGCAAGTGATGTATGTAAAGAAATTATTGGACAATGTGAATAAGCTTCAATCAGGAATAGTTTTTATTTAAAGTTTGAATTATTGAATTCCGTATCCTATATCTGGTTATTTTTTACCAAATTGTGAAACCGTATCAAATTTGAGGCAAATTATTGTGCAAAAGTGAATCATTGTATGAAGTCCTGGTACTTTATGAGACCCATTTTTCTTGTCCACATATTGGGATCAAGTTCTAAATCAGGTGAATTTAACTTGGTGTTAAAATTTCAAGCAGCAGCTTTCATTGTTCTCTAAGAAATTTTTCTGATGCAGTTTTCAGTAGTTATGAGAGCATGTAGTAACCAATGATTTCAACAAGATGTGGTGAATTTAAAAACTTCCCACTGTTTTTGTAGTAAAGTACCACTTTACAAGATGAAATGTCACTTATTTCTTGTAATCGCACCACTGGGTTTTTACTATAGGAAACTGGTTAAAATCAGTTTACTCACTTTACTTTTATATTGAGGTTGGTGTAGAAGCTATTTGTCAAAATTTCAAATTGGAGACCTTTTAGTAAAAAATCAGAAATAGCAGTGGTAGAACTTCACCTGTGTTGGATTTTGAAAGCAATATAGTCATATAAAGAAGTTGGAAAATCATTTAAATGAAATGACTATTTCAATGGTTTTTTGTCAAGTACACAAGCAACCATATCAAAACAGCATCTCTCTTTCTCTGTAGCTGCAGGTGTTAGGAACAAAAGAGACAATAGAATAAAGTTGGTTCTAGAGTGAAAGCTCTGATTTCACTCTTCTAGACCATTTACAATAGTCACTTTCCTCTGTCTTCTCTCCTCTTTTAAATTTGTTTGATAACATATCATACCTTTACAGAGTAAGGAAAATAGGAAACAGTTGCAACCTTGTGTGGGTTAAAAGAGGGGTTGTTAAAGGATGATATTATCTTCTTATCAATTGTTATGTTTGTGCAGCCATGCTGTAATCAAAGTCAGCAATACTAAATAATAATACTAAGTAATGTCCATTCTCCATGAGATCTATTGTAACATTATTGTTAATATTTTGATTGGTGTGATTTATTTGAAAGACCCTAATTGAGGGATTTATCTTACAGGGTCTCATTGAAGGTTAAATTAGGTCTTACATGAGACTAAGCAACCTATTTTGATTGAATTTTTTTCAAATGAAAATTTTTTTTCAGTTTTATTAGTGTAACAGTTTTTCATTTTTAAGCCCAGTCTTTTAACTGCTTTAAGTCATTTCTTGTATTTTTCTTGGCATGTTTTGTAACAGCACTTTTATGTTGATAAGGCAATTATTAGAAGTATCAATATTTTTATGATAATCATAGCCATCTAGAATCAACTCTATCCAGCCATGAACATATTTAAAAAGTGAAATTTGATATCTGCATATTACTGGTGGGAAACAATTTGATAACATTGGTTCAGATTTGCATTTCTGTATAGAAGTTGTGCTCTTTATCACTTTGAGATTTAAAAGTATTTTTAAAATTCTTTAGAACTTTTAATCAGTTTAATGATGTTGTAGTTATGAACCCACCTGTTTAAAACTGTTTCAAAATTAAGTACATGTTGTGTGTTTGTATTACTCATTTGTACTGTTTTTCTTTGTTGAATTTTGCTAAAAATATAATTGTCTCTTTTTCCCTTGATTAGTTGGAAAAATCAGATCATTAGTTTTGTTTGGTCCAAGTGGTTGTGGCAAGAGTACTCTTAAGAAAAAGTTGATGAGTGATTATCCTGCAAAGTTTGGCTTCTCCATATCACGTAAGAAATATGTGGTTTTGACTACAGTGGGCATCAAAATTTTTGAAACATGGGCTGAAACATTTACATATGTTACATTTTCAAGGATGTATTTAGAAATGAAATTCAAATTGAAATGCATTTTGTACAGAACTCCTTCATTCAATGTTTCAATTAAAGAACACAAAATGCAACATAATGCTAGAGGAGAGAAGTTGAAAGTAGGGGTATTTGGGTAACATTGATATGCTATTCCAGAATATTGTGATTTCAGTGGTAATGTAGTGTGACAGGTATTTGTGATTGGTTACTGTATGCAAATGAATGTGGCTTGCCATTGAAGTTACTAGGCATTGATAGGAGAGATGGCTCACCCTTTATTCATTATGGTAGGGAGACACATAGATCAAAAAAAAAAATTTTAAAAATTGGTTTCTGAAAAAAGTAAGACAAGGAAAATCTCCCCACAAGTGAGCATTTGTAATAGATTCCTTATATTATAGATACATTGAGTTTCCAAAAGAAGCATATGAGCTTCTGGTTTCTAGCTAGGTTTGTTTGTTTACTTTTTCTCTCTCCCTCTTGTTATTAAATTTGTGATCTTGTATGATGCTATTTCTTCACTCTCTAGAATGGTTCAAAGGTAGTCTGTTTTTCTTTCTTTGATAGAAAATTATTTCTTGTGCCATCGTTTTTCAGACACTACAAGACATCCACGACCTGGGGAGATAGATGGAAAAGGTAACACATAGCAGGAATGGCTTGTTTCCTTTTTTTAATTTTTTTTTTTTTTTTTGGGGGGGGGGGGTTGGGGGAGAAGAACATTTAGTCCAACTTTTGAATATCTTGTCTTTCAGGAAAGTAAAATACTTTTGTCCTCTAGTTTTTCCATGAGTATAATGTGATAAGTTTCACTGGCCAACCAATGCACACTGCAAAAAGAACATTTTCTTCATGAAGTATAAGTTTTAGTCTTGGTGACAGATTTAATCCTGTATTACCATTGCCCTTTACAGAATACAAACATGGGAAATCAGATGTGTTCTTATTAGCTATTACAAATCAAAGACCTTTGGTGAGCCCCAGTACATTTAAATGATGAAACTCTATAAAGGGTCTAAGGTTTAAAGTTGGATGGAACAAATGCAATCACCTTACATTATTGATGTACACAACAATGTTGATGTGGTTTTTTTGTTTTGTTTTGTTTTGTTTTTTTTTGAAAATTCTATTTATTTGAGATTATTACTGTGATAAGTACAACAGATCAGTTTTTTAACATGTTAGGGATAAACTAATTATTTTGATATTGTTTTAACATCATCCACTCTTTGACTAGGTAAGTTTTCTCTTTGCATTTAGATTACCACTTCACTGATCACAATGTGATGCAGAAGAGTATTAATGCTGGTGAATTTATTGAGTCAGCAGTTTACAATCAAAATCTTTATGGAACTAGGTAATATAGTGGGCAGATTGTAACCTGCACTACAATGTAATTGTAATTTTCTCTTTTGTTTGGTGTTGGAGGAAATAAATGATTTGGATGCTTTTGAGCATAGCTTGTTGAAACTCATAAACTAGCTTGTGAACATATTGCTATAGAAGATCATCTCAGATGCAGATGTATTTCATATAGCTTGCATTTTATTTTCTATGGGGTGAGTTGTAATGGGATACCAATATTTAAATTTTTTCTCCATTTCAGGGAGTCTTATTTCACAATGAAACAACATGTATTTTTCAATTGTAAATACAATTCCTTCAAAACTATTGTGTATCAGTTGTGGGAAATTGCAGCAAATGCTGTTGGAAAGTGCTCAATACACATGAGTGTAGAGCAAAATACAGTTCAAAATGACTAAAATGAAACACGCATGATTCCCTGTAACTCTGAGTTTCATGCTTAAATCTGTCTGATGAGTGCATAAGCACGAAACTCAGAGTTACAGGGAATCATGCGTGTTTCATTTTAGTCATGTATCAATTGTGTAGGATGACTTTGAGGCTAACAACATATAACCTGCTCAGAATAGATTATCAACAGAAGGAACATGTTTCAATTGAAATAACTGGTAACTTTACCTCTAGATACATGTAAACTCAGTGCAGCTTATGTAAGTAGTTTTTCTTTTTAGTACCTCCCAGTTATCTTTCTTCTTTGTAAATTAATCTACTCTAACAGGAGAATATCATGTTCTCTTGACTCTAACTAATTTTAAAAAGAAGCAAACTCACACAGGCCATGGCATCTTATGGCAAGGATGCAACACACCATAAATACTCAAATTTATTATTGCTATTTGTCTTGTTGAAGCAAAAAGGCAGTACAAGATGTTTTGGATGAAGGCAAAGTTTGCTTGCTGGACATAGATATGCAGGTATGACCAAAAGAAGAAATAGACCATTGTTATGTGACAGGGCAGGAGTTTAGAATGAGATAAGAAAAGCTTTGATGAGCAAGGGTCATATGACTTTTAATACTGCTTGTTTGAGTAAATATTCTTTGTATTCATGTAAATCCACCCTCCTTTTAGATATTCAAATTTCATAGAGCTTCTAGCCCTTCTCCTCCCTCTATCTCTAAGCACAAAGTAACGGTATTGTTGTTCCGTACAAAATCTTTTGTAGATTAAAGCCTTTATCCGCATAGGTTTTTCACACAAAGAAATGAGTGAATAAGCCTCTGGGGTGCATATTAGATCTTTCACGGTACCTCTTTTTGTATGCACGATAGTTAACTGGGCTTTTTTTTCTACCATCCTGGGAATAACCACCAGAAGCTCTCCTCTCACCCCCTTTATCCCTAATTAAAGGGAAGTCTCTTAGCCCAGAGGCACAGGTGTTTTGACTTATTACTATGAAAAAGCCAATCACAATTTTATGTAGAAAGAACAGAATGTATATTTACCCTAAAAACCGATTGATGAACCAGAGGAAATTGGTGATTGGGATGGGGGGAGGGGGGGGGGGTAATCAGCCAAAATGTATTGGCACTTAATTAGAAATGGGCAATGCTTATCATTGCATAGGTTTCTTAATGTGTGGATAAGTGGATAATCTCTCCCGACTTGTCTTGTTGAGTCGCTTGGTACCAGGGTTGGCATTCAAACATAGGGCGTGTTAACAATACACTACACATAAAGTTCAGATTGATCGTCAGCTTGCTTATTTTTTGTCTTTATATTTTCAGGGCGTGATTAGTTTGAAGAGAGCAGACATGGATTGCTATTATCTCTTTGTTAAGACACCTACATTAGAGGAACTGGTAACTTATCTTGAGTTTGTATTAAATGTTTAGTACTAATCCTGAAACAATTTTTCGTATGATGATGTCGTTAACAATACGAGAAGATTTATTATCGTTGTTGTTGTTGTTGATGTAGGAAAGACGCCTTCGTGCTCGAGGAACAGAGACAGAAGATTCGCTTTCAAGGAGACTAGCTACAGCGAGGAAGGAACTAGCTTATGGTAGGACTGAAAGAAACATGCATGAACTAACCCTTTGTTTTGTTTCGACCCCTGAACTAATGACCATCTGCCGATAACTAGTTCACTTGAGTTCAACTCGCCAAGTATATAAATTGCCAGTCAGTACCTTGATTTGAGTTTCGGGACAAGAAGCCTCCGTGTAGCCTTACCCTCTCCTCCAAGGAGAAACTGAAGCGGGGAAGGCACTGTTACACGTAGGCTACAAGGCAAGCTATTTACAAGGCAAAAAGATATCCCGCCTAAAGGGAACTGCCTCGAGGAAGCAATGTTACCTCTCAAACGTGAAACCACAGGTAGTCAAAGTTTGCACAATGGGCCTCGGTAAATAGGTTTCCGTTTCGTAATGGGCGAAACATAAGATTTTGTATGGGAATGAACATCGAAAGGTCGCATCCTTAACCAAAATACGGTAAAAAACCCTCACATAAGAACCTAAAATTTAAAAACCTGTTAATTGCTAAAAACAGTTAAGCAGTTAAGCACCTGTCTCATAAGAACCATCTAAGCAAAAATCTCAATGCAACTTCTTATTTTAAGAATGTAGAGTTCATTCAAGTTTGATACAGTACATTGCATGCGATACAAAAGTAACAGAAACTAGCCAGAACACCGGTAGTGTTGTAAGACCACAATACTGTTCTATCAATACATCCATAGCAGTGCAACATATTTGACGGTGTGTACAAGTTAACCATGTAGAGCAGGGCACTCTAAAGCTGGTAGACAGCGCAGTATCACACCCGTACCCACCAATACAAGTTGTTTTCTTCAGACAAAAATTAAGAACGTGATTGAGAAATTGGTAGCTCAATTTCACAGTAAACACTATTTATAGAAAAACCTATGGAGGCTAACTTGAAAAAACCTGGGTTCATATATACGGGTTTTTACTGTACCTGAAATAAACTTGTTCAAAGACAAACTTACCACGCCCCTGTGTTTGTTCCTTTGCATCTTGTGAGATTTCAGGCTAATTTACAGCTGTTTAGGTCGTTTTTAGTTCTCCTGCTTTGCCCTTGAAATAAAGATCATATAGAGGGGCGATTAAGGTGAAAGAAGAATATAAAAAGTAGCTAAACGACTGTGAATCAGGCTAAAAAAAACTCACAGAATGCAAAGAGAAGTACCAAGAGGTTAATTTGTTGCTGAACAAAAGAGAGACCGCGAAGCGCATTTGTGATACCATGTTTTAATGATCAAGATGAGAATAGACAGTGGAATTTTTCTTTAAAATTCGATTTGTATAATCAGTCTCGAACAAACAAATATTTCAGGGAAATTGAAGTTAACGACATCAGGAATAGCCTCTCACTTGTACAAAATGCACAAAACCTTGATGCCACAATCTGAAGGGTGCAAACGAGATATTATTTTTCGATAACTAAGACGGTAGCTTTTAAAACAAAACAAAACCGGAAAGAATGCAAACATTACTAACAATTTTAAGAACCTTTTTAATGCTTTTACATGCATGTTTGCGTCTCATTAGTCACCAACATGATAATTTTCCTGAGTGATCATACTGTAGAGCTGCACACTGGGCTTCAGAGTTCACGACCCTCAGAGGCAATAGGGCGTTAGTCAGCATACTGAGAAAATTTCCATCAGATAGACGATCTTGGCTGAGGTCCAAAACTAATTTCCGAACTTTAAAAAAACGTTTACCACAAAAAAGCAAGGAGAACATGTAGACAAACTTCTAATTCATCATCGAACTATTATCATAGAAAACTGCAAATTTCTTCCAGTTGCAAGACGGTGGCTGTCAACTAATAAATGGGAGTGAGATAATTTCCACAGTTTCTGTAACGTGATATCTTTATGGTTATTATGCGATTGTGGGACATATGTAAGATTGTTTACAGATATGACACATGTTTGGGTCCAGCTCAAACTACTGATTGCTCTTTATTTCCCATATTTCAGCTGAAGAGCCTGGCAATTTTGACAGTGTGATCATTAATGATGATCTCGAAAAAGCCTACGTCGATTTAAAGAATAGGATTCACAAGGTAAGAGACTTGCCTTAATGCTAAGCAAAGGAGCATCAGTAAAACATGTCCCAGAACTTGAAGGAAGGCACTATACATGATTTCTAGTTTCCATCCATGTTTTGCGGACAGAAAAATCCATCAGCAAATTCGTCAGTATCAGTTTGCTTGGTATCTGTGATCAAAAGAAGTTGTCCATAGGCCACAAACCACAGCGGAAGACCTCAAACCCCAACACTTTAATGAGTACTCGTTTCCAAGTAAATCACAGATCTTGAAGAGAGATAAACAACGCTCTAAATGGGATACAAAATTTTTAGGCATTCGTATCGGAAAATTAGCGTGCACTTAGACATTTTATTTCGGTGAGAGTGCTTTTTAGGAGGGTCAAATAATTGGTATTTATTGTGCTCTTAAGTCCTATAATTTTGGTCCATAAATGTATTCTTTTTATTTTTCATTCAGGATGTTGTTTCCCTCTGGTAGTCTGTCTCGTACTGGATGGTAACAGCACAGAATTAAATTTCCAACTGTATTATGATTATTCATTTAAAATTTCGTCACAATAGTTGCATCGTATTAAAGTAGAGAGTTTTTCTTGGCTCTAAAAACTTAAAGAATTAGCGAAAGTGAAGAAGTCAGGGTCTCAATATACATAGCTAAATCATGTCGGAATATTTTTCCCGAAAGATCTAGAGTTAAGCTAGTAAGCTTGGCTTGTAGTTCTCTCTGAAAAACTTAACTTTATTGCCTCGTATCTTTGTTTTCTTTATTTGCTGTATTTTTAAATAAAAAACTTTAAGTTTGTCGAATTTTTTTTGCCAATTGTTTTGCTTGTGATTTAGACAAGTTTATTATTGCTTCTAGAAAAATGCAAACTGTTCATCTCGTTAGTGAGAACCAATGTGCAGTCAACTCCCATATATTAAGGAGGTCTGCTGTCCACATAAGTGCAACGTTCATGTAATGTTAACTGATAGTAGCAAATATGATTATGACGATGTTGATGAAGAAGATGATAGGAATAATGATGAGGCAATGATATAATGACGATAATGGTAACATTAACAATAATAATATTACATGTAATAACAATAATAGCAACAATCACATGATCTCTCTCAGGGCTTCTTTGCGAGTCTTTTCAGCTCCGTTTTGTTCCTCTTGGCAGCTCATTTTATACACCTTAACTGTCAGCGTTGCTTTGATCAAACAGATATTTCGTGTAACAATACGATGCGTAACAGTCGTTTTATGCTAATTGTGGAAAGTTAAATCGCAGGTTAGTTAAAATTTATTGCTTGCACCCAATTAAACGAGTGATTAAATTACTAGTTATCATAGTCGATTAGGAAGTTCAATTTAAATTTCATGAAGTTTTTAGTTTTTTGGCCCTTTTAAATGTGTGATTTACTTCTTATCTTCAGTAGCAGTGGTGGCAAAATAATGATTATAAAGGTGTGGTTTCAGTCCGGTAGGTTAGGTCATTCCAATAATAATTCGTGGATGTGGTGTAGTTTTCCTAAGTCGCTATTCATTTTATAGACTTTAATCTCGTTAACAGTTACAATATGGAAACTGACCGCTCTCGAGGCTGAAGGTGACGCTCCAGGATATATAAAGTTAGTCGTGCAACGTATGTTCGGTTCAATTTGTTGTCATTCGGGATGATTTGAACGCTTGTGACTGTTGATTCGGACTCCTTCATCATATCACAATCATTCACATTTTGTTATTTTATGTAATGTGTATCAATTCTTACTAAGCTTATGGCTAAGTAAGTAATTTCTCCTCAGTCCTTAAATAAATCACCAAACGGTTATTCATTTCCTAAGGAAAATTGAAACATTACCATTCATAATCGTATGTCCATGAACTTTCGTTCCGAAGGCGGAAAACAGCTAAACGTAAGGCCTTCAAGTCTACGAGACAACCATGTTTATGTGTTAGACATATCTGACGGCATTAACTAAGTTGAAAAAGGTCCAAATCCGATCCGTACTCAAAACCTTCTTATCTTTCAGTATCTCAAAGGAAGGATTGTTTTCTTCATCACGACTCATTGTGAGAACCATTTTACGATATACCCCTATCCAAAACTGTATAAATCAGGGAAAGTAAACGCCATTCTGTGATCATGCCATGGCGTTCTTAGAAAACAAGTCTATCAGCGGCGGGTTTAAAATTTCTTACATTGCGTGTCATTTTCACTCGGTGTTTCCTTGGATAGAGAAGCTTCTTAGGGTGACATTTAAGGGGATTTAAACCAAGTTTAGCATTAAGCCGGCGACAGATAAACTAACTTACTTAACTGTATAATAAGTAACCAATATTTGAAGCCAAGAAGTCTTCCAATGCTCCTGTTACGTTGTAACTCCCCCACGAAGGGAAAATCACTAACCTCGTGATTTGTTGTCTGAAGAGATGATACACCTCACCGCTTGAGTAAGAGGAAAACAGAATTCTAAGCCGGCTGTTGGGTTATCAATGTAATATCTCGATCAGTTCATTGGCCGGGGTGGAGGGGGAAGCTTTATTTTAATAAGCTAAGCTCAACTTTCAACGGTTAGCTTCGATTTCTAGACGAAAATTGTGAAGATTATATTTTTCTGTTCCAAACTATCTTAGAAAAGTCTGACCTCATTAGAACAGAAAAAAAACCGTACTTTGAAAAGAAAGTAAAGTTTGAAATTGCGTGAATGATTCTCTGAACGAGATAACACGACTACTGTTGAAACAACACATTCCTGCACAGATTATACATGCTTTTAATACTCTTGTATTATAAATATACCGCAGAAGTCAATATGACCGAAGGATACGCTTGGTTACATTTGCATATTTTGTGACATAATTTGACAGCATAACTGAGTCCATGGTTCGATAATCGGGCATAATGGACCGATTTTACGGGTTATTGAGGCACTTTGTCACTGTCGTCAATCGAATTTATAAACTATGAATTTCAGCTAAATAACTACTATTCTTATGTGCTTCAAGGAGAGTGACAAAGATACCAAATCGAAATCATTTACATAACGAAGTACTTGTAGCGCTGTCGTGAGTTTGTTATCAGGTGTACTGACATCTATCCGCAGTCTAATCACGAAGATTCCTTCAAGATGTTAGCGCTTTGAGCCCAACTCGGAAACCGTTGTGTACAGTGGCGATGTATCATCACTCCCACGCTTTCTTGTTCTGTTACATTAAAAGTAAACATATTAAATTTTGTGTTATCTGAAACTAAAAGGTCGTGACGTTTTGATGCTTCGTAAACAATACCACGAGCTTGAGTTGTAAAACATGTTCAAGGCTTCAAGTCTGATGAAGAAAATTGACGAGACAGTGATTAATAGCTGTGGGTGGTGTGTGATACGTGCTGTTAGAACTGGCTGCTAATTAGTGGGTTGGATTTGCCACCACAACTCAACCTTTTGTTTTCGTAGAGCTCGTTAAGTGCTTTGTCATGTGCAAGGCAAACGCAGACATCTTTACTAATTGTTTCCACACCAACCGAGCTACTAAAGTTAACTGTTGAGACATGAACCTCAAATTTTAGTCTTCGGGATTTCACTTAGTAGAAAGATGACAGACACTATAGGTTAAAAAATCTTAGATATTTAATGTGACCTAGGACGTTATTGTCTTGCATTGAGACTTTCAACTAGCGAGACTGGTTCGTGAAGCGACTTGTTTAGGATAAACTGCCGGTAGAAATATATTATCTTATCTAAAATATAACCTGTAAACAACGTCGTCTCCAGCTCAACTTATTTTAAACAGCGTATTGCTGAATGATCTGGCGTTAATAGCCTTAGGTGGACGCCCCTCTTGGGACCTTTAATTAGCACCATAATTAGACTATTGAAAAGATTGCTAACGTCCAGTGCGTATCTACAAAACCTCTTTTTTGCTTGCGAACTCTTCAGTCAGCTGTCTGATGGTTAAAAGCTTGGTGCTGTAATCACCGCAGATGTTTGGATTTATTACTTCCCAAGGAATTATGAATTAAAATGCTTCTATTGAGTTCTTTGCTTTAAAATCACGTTTGAAAGCGTCCAGGGATGACTTAAAAAAGAACTTAATCCATTAGCCTATGCAAATTTTACTTGTCTTCAATCATGAATGTTTAACGTAATATTCAAGCGTGCTTCATTTTCCTTCGGTCCATAGGTGTACTTTTATACAGTTTGAATGGTCCGGAAGGATTAGCGTTCCCAAGTTGTTTCGTTTGGCAGTTTTAGCCTGCTCTGTGGTAAATGTTTGGCATACTATGCACTTCATGGCCGAATAAGCTGATAACAGTGCATTCAAAAGACCTTTATTAGCGATGGTTTGTTCAAGCGAGTGGGCCGGCAGGTATTAAATATTTCTGATTAAAACAAACATTTAGTCAGCTTATTCAAACAGTGGCCGTTACAGTTCTTTCCCCCTTTTCTCTTCGTGCTTGTGTGTTGCCAAGTAGTCGATTGCAAAATCTTTTCCAAGATTCTATTGTCTTACCAGACCAGATCCAAAATCCCGACGTGATGCCGACAACCAACGCCATGAAATACTTGATAATAAACACCGAATGGTCCGGTCGAACCTGATTTACATTGTTGCAATCCGCACACACCACGGATCTCTCCCAGGTTTCCCTGTTTACAAATTCGTAAAAATAACAAGCCACAACAATAGTGGCGGGCACAGTGTATAAGACAGAGAAGACTCCGATGCGAATCATTAGCTTTTCAAGTTTATCAGTTTTGATCAGTTTATCAGTCTGCATACGTAAAACTTTCCGAATACGAACCAATGAGTAGAAACCCGCTATTAAAAAGGACGTCCCAAACACCAGGTACACGAGAAGGGGTACTACAACAAAAACGATCAAGCTCTGAAGGTTGTGATTTCCGACAAAACAAATCCCACTGACTGGGTCTCCATCTACTGTAGACATCGCTAGGACAGCGATGGTTTGTATCGCTGGAACAAGCCATGCGGCCACATGAAAGTACTGTGAATAGTTGGTGATGGCCTCTGTTGACCACTTCATCCCAGCAGAGAGAAACCAGGTGAAGGACAATATGACCCACCACAGTGACGATGCCATTCCAAAGAAATAAATCAGTAGAAAAACGATGGTACATGCGGCCGGTCCTGATGTTTCGTATCTCATCAAGCCTTGAGAATCGCATGCCACGTTCTTGTATCCGGCGATGAAGCGAATGATGTAACCTATAGCCACAAAGCAATAGCAGACGGACAGAAAAATGATCGGTCGCTCGGGATATCTGAACCGTTGCATGTCGATAAGAAACGTCAGCGAGGTTACGAGGGTAGAGATAAAACACAGGACAGCCCACAGTCCAATCCAGAACGATGCGAAGTTTTCTTGATCCTGCGAGAAGTACGTTTTATTGCAAGACATTACACAGTGTGGGACACCCCCTGTAGAAATGTCCCGCAAATTCGGTTTAAGTTTTTCGTCAGTTAATGACACAAACGGCGGTCTGCAAGAGCAACAGTTGACCGCCTGATTGCCCGAATCACCTCCTCTCGCCGATATCGGTGCACTTGTTGTTCTAGCTGTTGTTGACGTCGGAGTTGTTGTACTTTCGTTTTTTCCTACACATATCTTATTTCCAAATTTAGGAAAGTTTTCGCATCTCATTCGTTTGGGCCACGAAAAGCCGTACTGGCGCATAAGAGGCGCACAACCTTCCCTTGCTTGTTGGCAAAGCGATCGACATGGGGGAATTTCTTTCCTAAAGTTCGGCTGACATATAGGAGCATAAATGGAGCACAGAAAGAGCTTCAGGTCTGCCGAACACTTGATCTCGACTAGCGGCCAGAATTGATGAACTTCAAGCGCCGCTTCTTCCTGTGTGTCGTGGTTGAACATGTTTGGCATGTATGTGAAGTTATAGCCAACACTTTGACACAAAGGTATCTTGATCTTTTCACATTTCCTTTCTCTGCTGAGAGCGACGTAGAACGCGCTAGAAAATATCAAAGCTACATACACGATGCGGCGTGTTACATGCATTGCGCCCGCTATTTTAAGAGTGATTTCATTCTGGCTTCAGCGAGGTGTTTTGTCAGTGTTTAGTCGATTGCATGTCACCCTTGTCATTAGATTAGCGATATTGACAGATTCACACAGCGACCAATCAACGAGCGAGGCTCTCTCATTAGTGAATTGTGGCATGTAATTCGCACATCAGTGAATGGAACTTTTAAGCCAAAGCCATTAGCAGAAGAAACGCAATTCCTTGGAAATTAGCGCTTCATCAGTCCTATTCTCTTCGGTTCATCTAGCTTTTGTTGTGAAATTTTCCACAAAAGATATTTCTCGTGTTTGGCGTTGTCTCAAGGCGCCCTTTGATCTGGTGTAAACCGCTTTTCGGTAGCTTCACTTGGCGTCTTGCGCGATGTTTGCCCTCTAAACAAAATGCAAATATTCTAAGGCTTAGGCTTAGCAAATATTTGCTCACGGATTATTGGCTGGATGTTTCGAGATCTGCATATCTTTTCTCACGCGCACTATATATCACGCCTCTTACGCCATTAACACACCAAGATAGCAAAGCGATGACAGCCGAACAAAAGGGTTGAGGTACAGGCAGCGATAAGGACTTACTCCATATATTCAACACAATATCGCTCCAAATTAAATAATTGCAATTCTCTCTTTTTTTCCATTCTTAGACAGGCACAAACAACTTTCAGCTTGGTTCAAGTTAGACTGCACGAGAAAATGACGTCCAAGTAGACAAACTCAGTTTAGTATGTATAGATTTCACCACAAAAAGAAACATTGATTGTTATCGAAGAAACTGTCGTACTGGGAGGGAACCGAAAATAAGTGATAAGTAATGTTTAATAAACTGACAATGCCTGTGACGCTAATGAAAAGTGCAAGGCCATTTGCAAGCGTTAAAGAACTTCTGACATGTCTTTTAATAGGTTTTTCTTTCGTTCGTGTATCCGGATGGGAAAGGGAAAAAATGATGATTGCATTCAATTTCGTTTATTTGTGCTGGAAACTCCGATTTTCTCTGAACGGCCTTTAAAACAATCTCGGAAACTTCACGAGTAAGAATTTATTATATTTTGAGTCCCAAAATATCTATGCTAGATTCTCATCCGATGTAAATTGTGAAAGCTCTTGCCACAACGTATGTTTACCGCGGGAATAAAAGAGTCTGGCGGGCACTAAGTAAGCTAGCTTCCACGGAAAACAGCAAACTCTTCTGGCCATGTTCACGGTATATATTCAGTATTTATCGGCATCATCAACCATTTAAATCCTTTCATCAAAGTAAACACTCAAACTCAATGAAACGGTAAACATTAACAGTAAATATTACGTTCTACAGCAACTTTACTAACGTTTAATGGCAACCAAATTTTAAATCTTAGAAAAGCTCATATTTTGATATTATTTATATTTTATTGTTCGTTTCAAGTGGACCGTCTCGCTTCGATGCTGAAATATGCGCTTTTCTGTTAACCATAACTTGTTTATATTTTTCATCTTTACAAGATTATTAGGGCTTTTCAAGGCGACAGCGAGACAGGGCGTCAATAATTATGGTCAGTAAATCTTTTGTCTTACAAATTTCCTCTCTATTGTTACAAAAAATGTGAAAGCGTTCATGACAATGGGGCCTCGAGAAAGGTTTCTCCGCCCTCCGTACTTCAGCAACAAAGATACAGAATATGATGTTAGGAAGAAGAAATAAACAACAAAGAAACGCTAAAAAGCCTGATGTAATACGTTAATTTATTGGGCTTAATGTTTTTTTTTCGATATTATCAGAGGCGGCATTTTAAAGACCAATATACCGCACAGCAATACGGAATGCATCGCTGAATCTCAGAAAATCTTTCACAATCTTAGATAAGGAATATTAAATTAAACAAAGAATAAATCTCTTCAACAACTCGATTAGTTGGGGTCGAATCAAATGTCTTGCTGTGACCAAATGACAAAATTGTTCTATTGGATCCACCTTAGCCAGATTTGAAACATTTGTTGCACAGACAATCACTGAAGACCAATATCTGTTGGTGTTCAATTTTTTTAAATGTAGCATTTCCAGAATAGTCGAAGAGGGCCTAGCCATCGAAAGCGATTATTATTAAGATTACCAATTGGCACAAATAACTGTAATCCACTGAAAAATTGGTGTTAAATGCAAAGCGCCGCTTGAATCCGGATTACAATACTTCCTCGAATTAGTGATCACAGTGTGAATTTTGAAGTCATCGGATCACTGGTGCTTTATACCTCCCTCACTCCCGTAAGTTATCCGAAATCCCCTATCTTTTATTTTTTACTTTCCCATACCAAGCTTTGACCGTTAACCATTAATCGTTTTTAAAGTTTGAGATTTTTGGGGTTAATTTCAAGTTAGATTTCGTATTGGCATCTTCAGGAGTCCACAGTCAGACTTCACGTTCTTGGAAAATACAACAGAGCCGCGCGAGTGCGAGGTGTCCGTGGAGGGACGGTGCAATTGCGCTGTAAGGTCAAATTAACTTCCTGGTTTGTCTGTGTATTAAACTCGATACAAGAGCATGATTATGTCCGTTGCTAGATCATCAAATTTACTGTTTCTTCATGGTATTAGTTCACTTCATTTTTAAAATCCCCGGAGATGAATCAGGACTCACTCTGGTCGAATCACCTTTCGAGTGGATCTATCGAATACCTACAACCAACCGATCAATTGTTAAAAATATTTATCAAATGCGAGTTTACAAGTAACCCGGGGTCATGTGAAGAGGCCTAAAAAGAAAACATGGCTCAGGAACATGTTGAAAATTTTGGGGTTCAACTCGTTAAGGTGGGACATATCTCATATACTTGATTCGGCGAGCTTGACATGGTTTCGCACGTTGTAATAATCGTCGCACTTTAAGATATAACACCAGTCCTCAGCAACACACCTCGCATCTTGGATACCTCGGTACAAATGATAGGAGGGCGAACAGACCTAGAAATTACTATTATCTTTGCAAACAATAATGATAATGATGATAATAATAACAATAATCATAATAACAATAATATTAATAAATTTGACTGCGACAGTCATCTACGACCGAGACCAAACCATGATTCTAAGTGGCCATAGGAGTGTTCTTTCACTTTCTTAGAATGAGCGCAGCTCCCGTTAGAATTGTTTCCTGGATTTTCTTCAATTTGCTTGTGAGTATCTTTTCTTACTACCCCAGGAGCCCCATTGCTACTGGAATTGCTACTGTTCTCATCTCCCACATTCGAGCGACGTCCATTTCCAAGTATTTGTACTTTGAAAGAATTTATGACGCTTTAGTGAAAGTATTCTTTTTCGAATTTTTAAGATTTGTCGATGAGGGTATATCACTTGCCTCTCAAAGCCGCCACCGAGTTGTGTTTATGACCCAAAATTCACTCCTTTCTCCTATTTCTGTTAACTTTTCAGTAAGTGCATTGAATAGTGCATAAGACTCTCCCATGTTCAGTCCCTGCGCCAGGCTCAACTGATAGCTGAGATTTGATCAGTTATTTTTATCAGTCTGCCGAGGAATACACGTAACGTGTATTTAACGGATAGCTGAGATCAGGAATTTTTACCACTACTCTTCTGTTAGGTTTAAATCAAAAGGTTTGCTACATTAACACCTGCCAATTGGGCTGGTTTGACCCTCTCAGTCTTTAAACAATAAGATATATCTCCTCCCCTTCAACATTTGTGGTTATTACCACATGGCGCAAAACAGCTAGCCTGACCTGAAGAGGTTTCAAGAAGAGTGACAATAAGTAATCGATTATTAGGTCTCAGTTTTTTACAAGTTTGGGTAAATAGGTTTGGAATTTGCTGTTTCGGTGTTAACCTGCTGCTTTTCGATTTTTTACTTCTACCACAGATTCATGAAGCGACGACTGGGTAAGACTGGATACTAGTTACTTTTGAAGAAATGGCTACCTTCACTCAACTGTTCAGAGGAGGTCAGTCAACCAGATTAGACAAGATTACGAAGAACATCCGAAGGCCAGCCATTTACAATAGAAATTATCATCATAAGATGCTAAGGAGAAAAAAGCAGAGCGCCATTGAGGAAAAGGTTGATATCCAGAGTATTTTAAGAAGTTCAGAAAAAAGTTCAAGTGAATCATCTAGCATGAGGCACAGTGTCAGCGATGCCAATAGTCTTACTGCAGCCAAAAAGCCTTCTAAGAATGTCAATATTCAAATGTGGCAGAGATCGCAAGAACGAACATCCTTACTGAGGAAGGGTGAAAAAAGGTAGCGTAGCTTACCGTTTTAATTGTAAAGGCACTTTTCATTGACTTCCCCAGGGTCAACGCCGGTGTAGTAGCAAAATGTATCCCCGTCTTGGTTATAGGTTTACCTTCAAAAATGACGACCCGTGACATGTGTATTCCCAGCCCCTACTATTTAACATGGTTTAACACTTGACCAAACTAGAGGATGCAGGGCGACTTATTTACAGATCATGGCACCACTTTGTAATTCTAGTTGCATTACCCCTTGTTCTTCAAGAACCACTTATAAGATGGACCTCAGTAGCTCTTTATTCTATGATTACTATCTTGTTTTGAAATAGGCTCAGGTGAATAGTGCTTTCTGCGTGCGCTGATTGGCTGGTTTGGAAGTGATTAGTCAGTACTATTCACCTCCAAGCAACCAAAGAGACAAATTTTGCCCGTCAACAATTAAATTTTGGACCATATTTTGGGTGTATTGACAGAACTAGATTAATAATTTATTTTTGGTTTCTCTATGGTATATACTGAAACAACTATTCACCTCAGCTTGCAGCTTGGTGAATATCCACCTCTATTCACCTCCACTTTGATGAAGAATAGTTGATTATAGGTCAGCTGTAGTGTAAATGCACTAGCATTCTGACACAATTGCTGCAATCTGATTGGTGACACTTCTTACTATCTACAGTTGTATTCTGTAATAGATAGAGAGTAAAGTGCATAGCCTAACAGTTGGAGTTTGTAATCAAAATAAATAAAACCATGAAATGTTTTTATTAAGTTTGAAATATTAGAAGATTTATACATTAAAACTATTTGGTTGTTTACTCTGAATTTCTATGCTTGGTAGTTGGTGGGGGCTTTCTGTTCATCAGCTATCATGTGATAGAAATCTTGAGCTCATAATCTAATTATTAATTACTTGTTTCATAAAACTTAGATCAGTTTGCCAGGGAAATTTGCAATTGGTTATTATGTCTTTTCATTTAAACTCACGGATTAGTTTTCTGGTAACTAAACTTAATTGAATTACACAAGTATGCAGGTTAGTTTTATAACTCTGAGTGGTTTGAATTTGAAAGTCACATCAAGCCATTCCAGCCAACAAAAGCCTCTCAGTTTGGGTTGAGCCAAAATTCTTCTAGCATGGTGTTAAGGGTTATTTATACTATTACAATTCAGTCTTTCTCTCTCTGAATAGAAAAGATAGGGAACTCGAGGCCCCCATCAACAGAACCTTTTCTAAGCAAATATACTACAGAAGTGCACTTTCCCACAGAAAACAATCAAGAAGTTTTTTTTCATAAAATCTCCTCATAATTCATATGATTTTCCCACATTCAGGGAATTTTGGCTTTGGCAAAAATCAGTGAAAATATTTATGTAGAGAAGAGAAACATAAAGCATATAAACTTCACTACAATTATAACCAATATATAGATTTAGCCAAGCCTAAAAGTGGAGCTTGCATTTCTTTTTCCGCATTTCTTTTTCCGCATTTCTTTTTCCGCACGTCTCAAGGGCACAACGCCTTGCCCTGGCCAGGATTAGAACCCAGGTCATCCAACTCAGAGCCCAGTGCACTGACCACTGGACTATTGGACAAAGCCAAGGCGTTTGGTGCCCGCAGTACAGTTGACCACGCATGTTAAAAGTAGCACCTTGTACAGTTGTACGGTTGTACATCCAAGTTTTTTCGGCTTGATGGGTTACTACTATTTAATAATGGGGCTACGCTCTGCGAGCTAATAATAATAATAATAAGGACTTTATTTATAGAGGGGGACACGTAACAGCTGAAAAGCTGACAAACCTGTGGCCCTCTAACTAGATTATACAGCATTACAAAATAATACTAATAAATAGATAAATATACAAATAATTACAAAATTCTATGATAGAAATAGCAGGATATATTAAAAATATTCAGAAAGATAAAATTAATTTATAAAAAATTAAAATTAGATAATGTGCTATTGCTTAATATTGTTTCAAAGTTGTCCAGGTTTCTATATGAGCTTATAAAATACTTTTTCACAGCTGTTTTGAATAGTTTTATACTAGGCTTATTTTTGATATTATGGGGAAGGCTGTTCCATAACTTAACTGCGTCAACACTGAATGCCTTGCCACCATCGTTATTTCTTAGGTATTTGGGACACACTAAATTTAAATTGCCATGTCTAGTAGACCTATTGTGTACAGAACTGTTCGTCTTGAGCAAGTCTCTGATGTAAATCGGAACATCGCCTTTAAGGCTCTTAAAAATCATTGTACACTTATTTAGTTTGATTTCATCAAAAAAAGGCAACCAGCCTAGTTTACTAAAGTTTATAACACTTCTAGAATAAGAGTCAACTCCAAGGATTACTCGGGCAGCCCTTTTCTGTAACCTTAGGAGACAGTGGAGTTCTTTAGCGTCGCAGATATTCCAAACCATGCTCCCATACATAAGGACGGGTTTAATCAAGGCGTTATAGTATAAGAGTCTTTTTTTTTATTGGAAGGTACCTCTTTATCTTCTTCAATAAACCAATACGCTGAGAAAGCTTGGCCTTTAGACTAGAAATGTGGTCGCTAAATGTAAGATCTTGATCGAGTGTTACACCAAGCAATTTATAAGAAGTTACTTGTTCTATTTCGGCCCCATCAAGGGTTATTGACAGGTGATTGCCTTCCGCTAATGATGAATGTAGCCTCTTTCCGGTGATAAGTAATGCATTGGTTTTAACGGCGTTTAGGACCATCCCATTTTCGCTAGACCATTTACTTAATTTATCCATGTATTCTTGAAGACGTCGTTCCAATTCCAAAGGTGCATTATCGATATTAGCGCTGGCTTTAAATGTGGTGTCATCCGCGTAAGCATGAATAGTTGAGTCCGATCCAACAGCTTCGGGAAGATCATTGACGAAAATTAAAAACAGTAGAGGTCCTAATATGCTACCTTGAGGAACTCCATTGGTTAGCGTAAGTTGTGACGAAGTCGAGTTATTTACAGTAACACACTGTTTGCGATTGAGTAGATAGCTCTGCAATAGCTTTACAACATTATCTGGAAATCTATATGATCTTAACTTTATCAGGAGAATGTCATGATTGATCAAGTCGAATGCCTTGCTATAGTCCACAAAAACTAAGCCGCTGACGTTGTTCTTATCAAGGTCAAGAAGGACTTGGTCCAGAAGAAACAACAAAGCAGTATCCGTGGAGTGGTTTTACGGAACCCTGATTGGAAGCGGTATAAAAGTGAATTTTCTGTTAAGTAGGTGTTCACAGCATTGAAGATGTGTCTTTCAAAGACTTTAGAAAGAATAGGCAAAATGCTAATAGGACGATAGTTTTGAATATCTTGCTTGTTTCCTTGATTCTTGAAAAGAGGTTTAACCTTTGCTATTTTCCATTGTGAGGGAAATGTACAAGTTTCAATACAGTGATTTATAATTTTAGCTATGGAGCATGATATTTCAGGAGCTGCAATCCTTAGAACTCTGGCACCAAGCCCATCGATTCCCGTGGCTTTGTGTGTAGGTATACTTAGAAGATAATCGTTAACCTCACTAGGAGTTATTTGCGGAATAAGATTTTCAATTTGACTGTTAGATTTGTCTGGTGGACCAGGAAGAGCATCATAATGAAGTACAGGTGTCGACTTTATGAGACGTTTATATACATCAACGAAGAAGCGGTTAAAGCGTTCAGCGATTGAATGGTCATCCTTTATCAAGTTGTTGTTTTTCGTCAGCAATAGGGACGGAGTCGTCGTTATTCTTTGTATCTTTAGATAGGTCTTTAATTAAAGACCAAAGTTTCTTTGGACATTTTGATTTTTACTGAACTGAGTTTTAAAGTACTGTTCCTTCGCATTTCTTAGTTTCCTCGTCACTTTGTTTTTAACCAGTTTAAAAGCAGACCAATCTTGCTTATTTTGTGTTCTCCTGGCCCTCTTTAGAAGATTATCGCGTTTATTTATTTCGTTGTATAGATCATTAGTGAACCATTTTGGCTGATTGATTTTCTTCACACTCTTGGACTTTAAAGGTGCGTGATTATCAAGAATGTCATTAAAGATTTTGTACCAAGATTCAACAATGTCATCGGCATCTCGAAAAACAAAGGAGATATCCCAAGGGGCTTCTCTGAGGTCTCGCAGAAAGCACTCTTTGTTGATTTTGTCGATATTTCTGTATTTGATTTTGGAATGTTGTTTACGTTGTGCATCCATGGTTTTGTAGCACCTCAAGATGGTGACCGGAAGGTGATCGGAAAGTCCAGATTTACCTATGGATACTTCTCTAATTCTAGCAGGATGACTAGAATAAATATGGTCTAAGCACGCATCAGAGGCAGGTCTTGTTACCCCATTTACCATCTGCGTTAGTCCAAGACTGTTCAGTGCCTTTGCGAGACAATGTTTTGAATAACAGTTGAAATCAATATAATCCAAATTAAAGTCTCCCAGAATAATCAATTCATTGTTTTGGAGATGGGCATTTTCAATATTTTTACCCAAGCTCTCATTATAATCTTTGTTGGCTGAAGGTGGACGGTAAACACCAGATATCAAAATCGGTCTCTTTGATTTATGAGGACAAATTTGAAGCCAGAGAGTTTCAAGATCATCCAGTTCCAAATCTCTTCGACGTAAAGCCATAACTTTCTCATTTACATACGCAAATATGCCGCCACCTTTCTTCCCGATTCGATCTTTTCTGTGTAATGTGTAGCCGGGTATCATGTAATAGCTGTTTGGAATTTTACTTGATCCGAACGTCTCAGTGAGAATTAAGACGTCGAGTTTAGCAGCACTGTTGTTATTCGAGGTGAGCATTAGCGATAGTTCTTCCAATTTGGTGTCAGTCAGTCGTTGGATGTTCCAGTGGCAGACTGATAAACCTCTGAAGCCTGCAGGTGGTTGAAGATTATTAGGCCCTGGATTGACGGCAATATCGCCAGATAGAAGAATGCACAGACAAAATTGGCCAAGCTTGATGAACCGCAACAACGCGTGAAGCTTCAAATTCAATTCGCAAGGTGTGCATTTCGAAGGCTTTGACTTACAGTTGAACGTAGGTGGAGCAGATATTTCCTTCCCAATGAAGAGTGTAACTGTAGAGCGATCGAATTCAGGTGTAATTGAAGTAAATTGGCCAAGTAAAACGCTGAAAATAGTCAATAGAAGCACGACTGCAAAAATATGTCTGCACGCCATGACTAATTTATTCTCTTATAGCTCTGCTATTAACACCAACTTGTTACACTATTTAATATGTCTCTATTTTCAGGGTGGCTATTATAGCAGTTGTGTCAATGCTGATTGGATTTGTGGCCATTAAATCATTTGTTTCTGGTAATTGAGGCTATTGTCATTCTTTTAGATACACTACATTATTGATTTAAAGTTGTTAGTGTAGGTTAAAAGTCTTTTCTTAGAGGAGGAGTTACTTCAAAACCACAAAATTTTATCATTACCATGAAAAAGTTAACAAATCTACCACAACTGTCTATTATCTCTAACCTTACTGATCACACAAATGACATCAACAATGTTCAAAACTGGAGTTAAACCACTAGTCGCAGCAGAGTAGTTTCTCTGCAAAGTTTGGAGTATTGAAGTTGATTTTTTTTTTACTGTAACAGTGAGTTTTTTGCTGCTTTTACATGAAAGTTTTTGGTAGTGCTTCAACTTTTCTGGAATTGGGGAAGGAAATATTAATCCACAAGAGTATTTGTTAACCCAGGAGTGATTAGAATACAACTTCTCCCCACAATATCCATACATATATTCAGCAAACAGGTAATGAGAATATTCAAACTTATCAGGTAGAAGCTGCTATTTTCATCTAGCACCAAGTTCTCATAACCAATTTACAAGGAAATGTGTAGCAGTTAGAGGGGAGAATTAACAATGAGATCTTGGGAGTTAAAGGGTTAGAAGCTATTAGGAAATTCTAGTTCATGGAATTGTTTCCAAATTTTCTGCACAAAGAGAATCGCATAGGAGGACTGTTTTAAAAATGTGTGAAGTGTATGTCAGGACAAAGACTACTGGAAGCATTTGCCATTTGTATAAACTGCATACTGATTGGTTGGTTCAGAAGTGATTAGCAAGTACTATTCACCTCCAGGGAGCTGAAAAAACAAAATCACGCATCAAGAGTTAACTTTTGGCTAATTTTTTGGTTCTTGTGTTGCATGGACAAAAACAATTATTTACATAAATGTCAATAAATATCCACCACTGATTACCTGTAGTCTGGTGAGTGATTGTTAACTCTCGTTTTTCTCTCTAATTGTAGTTGGTAAAAAATGGAGAATCTCTGGTGACTCAGTTGGGGAGCAGTCTTCATAAGAGGTGAGTTACAGTACTCAGTCAAGACTGTCCTCTAAGAACTGTGAAGGAGAGCAAGATGTGCAAACCAAGCTAAAAGACTGTGAATGGTTTAAGTAAACAAACAGTTAACTAAGGTAACTTGAGAAACATAAAGAGGAGGACTGCCAAGGATGTGAAGCCTGGGTTTTATTTTATATACAATAATAATGCTTAAGAGTTGTTCCTTAAATTATAAAGATTTAACTTTTTTGAGGATGTAAAACATGTCAGCTTGAAAGATTGACACATATACAAGCACAGGTCTCCCAAGAACACAAAACAATGATTTGGGATTCAGGTTACCTCCTGAACTAATGATAAGAGATATAATCTGGAGTCACTTTGTCAATCACAAACAGGCATCAAGCAAAACTTTTTGTTGATGCTTGTTAAGTTTCAATGTTTTGCTGTGTGTAAATACTAGAAGAAAACATTTTTTACAAGCAGGATAACAGCATGGGACTTTGCAAGAAGTTAACTCTAAATAAGCTTTCCTATTTCTTTTGAAATTTGGTGCAAAATAAGGATACCTCAGGATTCAAAGTTACATTAAAAACAATTTTTATGCCTGTCTGCCCTAAAGATATCAGCCATTTCATGATCATTGTCAGTTTCTAAAGTCACAAATGTATCAATAAAATTTGATGAGTGGAAGAGGAAGTTCTCCCTTGCAAAACTGTGATTTATGGACATTTGTTTGAGTGAAGATGAATTTTGTAAAACTCCTCCCCCACCCTTAAGCCAAAACCTAGCAGGCTGGTGTTTGAAATGTCAATTAGTCACCTTCTCAATCCACTGCTTTTGGCACTCAACCACCCTTTAGCCATGGGGTTTTAGCCCATTGGCTAAAGGCATGAGCCTAACTATTAATCCTTCAAAACAGGGTGTTACCAAAATGAGCTAGGCCTCTTAGATAATCTCTCTTATAGTGTTCTCTTAGGTTAAGATGTGTTTTTAACTTGTATATCCCACCTGAAGAAGGCCAAAGGTCAGAGGCCAAAACATTGATTGTGAATCAAAAGGGTGGATCAGTCAAGAGCTTATCTTATTTCTTTCTCATCTACATATACCAAACATTATGGAGAAAATACCAGAATAGAGAATAGATCTTTACCATCGCTTATATACAATATGATCTAATTTATGCAGTGCGGAATTTAACAGTTGTTGCGTAGGAGGGCTTAGTTCCTGTGGTATCCACTTTGGTCGAGTGCTTTCTGGTATGCAGGGCCCCTCCATACCAGAAAGCGCTCGACAAAAAAGCATCATTCCGCCACGCTAATCACAAAAACTCCACCAAACTCAGCAAGCACATCTGGACCCTCAAAGACAACAACATCGAGCACTTTATTTTCTGGTGCATTCTCTCATCACACTCGCCGTACAACAGCTCAAGTAAAAGATTTAATCTCTGCCTAAAAGAAAAATTCTTAATCATCTGCCGACCCGAACTATCTGCACTAAACAAATGAATAAACTCATGTCTTCCTGCCACAGAAACAAAGCCCTCCTACACAACAACTAACTGTTAAATTCCGCACTGCATAAATTAGATCATATTGTATATAAGCAATGGTAAAGATCTCTTCTCATTAAATCCCCTAATGAGTGGGCAATCAAGAAACAGGTCTGTAGGGATGAACTGGTAGTTTATTTGTCTTTTTCCTCCCACAATATATATATATATATATATATATATATATATGTATATGTATATGTATATGTATATGTATATGTATATGTATATGTATATGTATCAGATGGATTTTCAGAACTGAGCCAGCAAAAATGTTTCACTCCTGTTACCATTTCTAAATCTTTTGCTCCCCTTTCATAGCAAACTCCAAATCCCACCTGGCTCTTCAATCCTTGTAGGCAGGGATCTCCTCTTGACATTGGCAACTGCCTCCGGGTGGACCAAACTGAGATCTCCGACATTTACTAGCTGCAAGGAACTTGTGTGGGCCTTTAGTGTGAGCCTGTTTCCACACTGAAGACAAAAAATGAAAACAAACTTAAACATTAAAAAATACCACAATTAAACAAAACAAAAAAGAAGGGAAGAGAAACCAAAAATCCACTACTGCTCTGTTACAAGCTATAAAATATGGCACTGCCTAAAAGAGAAAATTTACCATACCACAGCTGGAGTTGAGGTAGAGCCTTAGGAAGTCAACATGCCCAGCAGTGCTACTGCTAGCTAAAGCAGGAAAAAGCAAGAGCACAGAAAACCATCTGGTGTCTGTAATTGAGGGCTGTTCCCAATATTCCTGTAAGTTATTGAGTCTCTATAGAAATTTTCTGTAAATCAAGTAGTTCTCAGAATTATTGTCTCTGATCAGGGCTTATTAGAAGCATATTGCTCCAGAGTTACAAACCAATGATCAGATTCCTTAAACATAGTGACCAGTGGGAACATAGGATCAGAGGAACCTTAGGATTAGTGGGAACACAGGATCAGTGGATACAGAGGATCAGTGGGAACATAGGATCGGTGTGTACATAGGATCAGTGGGAATATTGGATCAGTGGGAATATAGGATTAGTAAACACGTGGAATCAATGGGAACGTAAGATCCCTCGGAGCATAGGATCAGTGGAAAGATAGGATTAGTGGGAACATAGGATCACTAAGAACATAGGATCAGTGGGTACTTAGGATAAGTGAGTACATAGAATCAGAGAGAACATAGAATCAGTGGGAACATATGATAAGTGGGTACAAAGGATCAATGGTTACATAGAATCAGTGAGAACATAGAATTATTGAGAATGTAAGATCTGAGTACATAGCATCAGTGGGAACATAGGAATCAGTGGGAACATAGGAATCAGTGGGAACATAGGGATCAGAGGGAACATAGGAATCAGTGGGAACATAGGAATCAGTGGAAACATAGGAATCAGTGGGAACATAGGAATCAGTGGAAACAGGGATCAGTGGGAACATAGGGATCAGTGGGAACATAGGAATCAGTGGGAACATAGGAATCAGTGGGAACATAGGAATCAGTGGAAACATAGGAATCAGTGGGAACATAGGAATCAGTGGGAACATAGGGATCAGTGGGAACATAGGGATCAGTGGGAACATAGGAATCAGTGGAAACATAGGAATCAGTGGGAACATAGGAATCAGTGGGAACATAGGAATCAGTGGAAACAGGGATCAGTGGGAACATAGGGATCAGTGGGAACATAGGAATCAGTGGGAACATAGGAATCAGTGGAAACATAGGAATCAGTGGGAACATAGGAATCAGTGGGAACATAGGAATCAGTGGGAACATAGGGATCAGTGGGAACATAGGAATCAGTGGGAACATAGGAATCAGTGGGAACATAGGTATCAGTGGGAACATAGGAATCAGTGGGAACATAGGGATCAGTGGGAACAGGGATCAGTGGGAACATAGGGATCAGTGGGAACATAGGAATCAGTGGGAACATAGGAATCAGTGGGAACATAGGAGTCAGTGGGAACATAGGGATCAGTGGGAACAGGAATCAGTGGGAACATAGGAATCAGTGGGAACATAGGAATCAGTGGGAACATAGGGATCAGTGGGAACATAGGAATCAGTGGGAACATAGGAATCAGTGGGAACATAGGAATCAGTGGGAACATAGGAATCAGTGGGAACATAGGAATCAGTGGGAACATAGGAATCAGTGGGAACATAGGGATCAGTGGGAACATAGGATCACTAGACACGTAGGTTAAGTGGGAACATGATCAGTACGAACGAGGACCACTGAGAATATAGAAACAGTGAGAACTTAGGATAGGTAGATACCTGGGATCAATGGGTACATAGAATATACTTAGAATATCCTTAGAATATCCTAATAAACACACTTAAGATTCTTGGGAACATAGGATCAGTGGAAACTCAGGATCTGTGGCAGAAAGGGATCAGTGGGAATATAGGATTAGTAGAAAGGTAGGATCAGTGGGAACACACAATCAGTAGGAACGTAGGATTTATGAAAACATAGAATCAGTGGGAACATAGGATCAATAAGAAAATAGCATCCGTAGATATATGGGATCAGAGGGAACATAACATAAGTGGAAACATAGGATTAATGGGGACGTAGCGTCAAAGGTAACATAGGATCAGTGAGAACGTAGGATCACTAGACACATAGGTTCAGTGAAAACATAAGATCAGTGGTTTTCCTGGAAAAACTCCAGTGTGTGTTCTTGAGATTTTCGATTTGTATTGTATTTGGTGAACATTTTATTTGCATATTTTGAAAATTCACGAGAGTTCTTCAATAGCTTATAGCGTGCTCTTGTAAAAGAAAGGGACAAAAAAAATCATTACATTTAAAAAAAACATTCCCAAAAAAATTCAACACGCATGAAATGACCTCATAAGTGTTAGCTGCAAACAACTCTCGAGCGGGGAATCGTCATCTGTTGGATTCCTTTTTTTATTTATGTGTATGAATTAATAGACTTATTACTGTTCGAATCGCATTTTAAAAAAATTACCAGCACAATTTTAATGTTATGATATATTTCCAAGAAAGAAGTAAATGGTAGTCCCAACAACACCTTATTATCGGGAATATTGCTAAAATGCAATAATGTGCTTACTAATTTAACAACAGTAATTGTCACTCGCAAGCTAACAGCTATCAAAAGTCAACAGAGCCTGCTTAAGAGGGTATCAGTGAAGGGGGGGGAGGGGTTAGCTTCCGCGATTAACGGTTAATTCCTTTTCAATTTGAAGGTTGAAGCTGAAGTTTTCAATGCCTGTTACGGATGACGGTTAAATTTTATATTACTCTGTGACTAAA